TAATAGCTGCAGGGGTGTAAGAAATGTAAAATGATAATTTGTTTTTTCGTTCAACCTCTCGCCCTCTTTTAGCGACGGATAATTTCCTCACTCCATCACCAGGCCTGCCAAAGAACATCTCATTAAAAGTCACATTACTACTACACTTACTGAAGTAACATGATAATTATCTACACAGGGACTGACAACACCAAGAGGTCATTACTGCCGTGGAGGGTAATTTCCCAGCCTTTCTCATGACGATGAAACTCACAATAGAGACAGGAAAAGAGCAGAGCGATCTCCATCCTGCAGACAAAAATTAGCATTTGATTTGTGGCTCCTACACTTCAGTGTGCAGGAGAGGCCGAGGATATCTCTCATAAAACATATATTACATTAGGGCTTTGGGGATATGAGGAGGGGGACTTCACAACACAATTAGAATTTATCAAAGAAAGTTTAGTCCCCTCTGTTGATGCGTCAGCCAGGACAGAAGTTATGTTTCTTAACGTCAGAATAAACCAAGTCTGGCAGATGTTTCCCAACTCTGAGATTACTAAGAAAAAAAATGACTTTTTCTCACTTTTAGTTTCCAGCTCTTGGGGGAATTGGCACACAGTACAAAACTCTGAGCGATCAAATGTGAGCAGGTGACAGAAAACTGGATGATGCATAAGAGCATCGCTGCATCTATGGAAACCCTCCTTGGTGAAAATTTTGTCGGTGATTCAATGGAGAACTTTGAAGGCACCTGGTCTTATTCCAGGATGATTTGAGATCAGTTATAAACTCGGTAGCAGGATTATTGATGGGACCACCCCATCATCACAGCAAGTGAAGAAAATGACTTTCTGGGAACTTTCATTAATTTAGCCGAAATGGAACAGAGTGCAGCTGCCGTGCAAGGCCACCAACGGATCAATGAAAAGCAACCGCAGAAAATACCAACTGATCCTCTCTGATAACACGCAGTAGACGGGTGTAATGGTGCAAAATGTGTTCGATCAGGATCCCATTAATCCAACAACTAAATGATGCAACACAGAGCACTTGATGAACAGGAATTCAGGGCTGAGTTTTAGAAGAGCGCTGAATGAGTCATTGAGATTGAGAAAATGTGGGAGCACTTGAGGCTGAAGGGTTGGACATCTTTCTATTTTCTGCAACTTTTTGTTTTTATATTTGATGCATGTGTGTTGAGTGGGATTAATGGGATTTGTGACAGGTCCTTGTATCTGTAAGAGCCTTTTTCAAACCTCTTTACCCTCTCTAAATTAATGGGAATTTCAAATGATGATCGTTGAGAAATATCCATCCATGTTCAGCTATTTGAAAACAGGATGCCTGAGCTGGATTTAAACCAACTGTACAAATCACAGCACTTCAGAACGACCCTTCAACACTCTGCCAGATATACAAGAGAAAATTTACAACACAAGTCTCTGAGATATCACACAAATGATTCTGTTTCAGAGCAAGAGATTCATGGGACTGACAGGGCATCGATATATCAATTTTTCATGCTTCTGAACCATCAATTTCAGACTCTGTCTCAGGAATGACATGGATTAGAGGAAAATAGGCAGACTTAAAAGTACTTCGTTTTTTTCTAGGTAGTGATTGAAATCTAACCTGAACTCTTTTGTCTCTGCAGAAGGGCAACAAGGAGCTTTCCTTCAGGGGCTTCTCAGAGCAGTGCAGATTTTTTGTAATGTCACCATGATAAAAAAATATATATGTTTCTACACACCATAGAATGTGAGACGCGGTTCAACTGGAGGGTAAAATCACACTATTGCTGCATTTCCAGGTGATTTGGTTCACTTTCACACCGCACTTGGTCAAGCAAACCAAATCTTGTCGATGAGAAGAAAAAGAAGAATATAAAGAAGAGGAATAACAAGAAAAAAAAGAACAAAATGAAGAACAAGAACAAGAAATGGAAAACAGCAAATTTATGGGCCAAAACAGGAAAAACTAATTCTTCCCTTTTGCCAGTTTGTATCACATAAATCATGGAGCAACACCAAATTGGTGAGCTGTCCAACAGGTTGTTCTTTACATAAATGAATGAATCAGTAAAAAAGATGCGCCTTAAGAAGTGAAAGACTACAATATGTTACACAAACGCTAAGCAAAGTATTAACACACAGATATGCCTCATTTTAGCCCCTTCTTGCCATTGCTTTATAAGTTGGTCTGCTTTGCTTCTCACAACTCAAACTAACTGCACCAATTGAGCAGAGACTCCTGTTTTCAAGAGGACCAGAGTCCACTTGTTTAGTCCAAAGCAGAGTTTGGATGAGAATGTGGCAGACTATCTGGTTTAAATGAAACCCAGGAGGAAATTTTCAGCTGGACTGACAGACATAGATAATGCTGTAGTCAGTTTTCTCTGTCATGTATACAGCTCAATCAGACTGAAACTGGCCTAAGCGCCATGAGCATGCTCCAGCATTTGCATTTCAGGCTTTGAGTCAGTGGTTGAAGAGCACGGATAAGTTGCTTGGAAGCTGGGCAGTAACAAAACCTCTTGTCAGACCAAGGAAGAATGCAAAAGAGATGAAACTTTCCTAACGACCAGTACGGAGCTGTAAAAGTGATGATGCTTTCATCGTTCACCATAAAGACTATTAGACTCCCTCTCTCCCCTGTCATCATATAAAATACAAGCCAATAACAACAGGCTTAAAGAGAGCATGTCCTCACCTACTGCAGGATGTGAATCTCTTTTATCTTTCCTAAATCTGACTCTCAGTTTCCCATAAATACCACAAAAATATTAGCACAAATGGTTTTGATCATAATAATTATGAGGTGAAAATGTGGTATGACACAAGAACAGTAAGGAGCTTATTTCATCTAAAAAATAAAAAACTTCTACTTTCCTGCTTTTTTGTGCATTTTTTTTCAGGATTTGACCTCTAAAGAATTTTGAGTAACCGAATAAAAAATTTAGAACAGGTGAGTGTGACGGCCCGGAGCCGAATGCAAACCTGTTCTGATCCAGTCTGTTGCAGAAAGCACTGGAATGTATCCATCCAGTGTGTGTGTGTGTGTGTGTGTGTGTGTGTGTGTGTGTCCTGTGGCTGAGTGTGAGCACAGATAAACCCTCATGTGGTCAAACATGCACAGTTTGATCAGAGACTTCCATCTCTATGAATTGGAGAGCAGCCTGCTGTGTACAAGGGCCAGGAGGGGGAGGATCCATGTTAATGAAGCTCCTGCTGCGTGTTTTGATTTAAGAGAGACTGGCTTAGCAGAAAGATTTGGGCCTTTTTGTGTCCTTATAAACGCCTGGGACACACTTTGGATGTTTGTTCTTGTTTAGAGTCTTAACTTGATCACAAGATGGAAAAATCCATAAAAGAGGGAGGACAACAGAGGGGGCTGTGAAAAAAACGATCACATTAAAAGGCGATATTGTTAGACTCTTGGACTTTAAGTTATTCATAGTTTTTCTAATATACACTTATGCTCTCCACCCACAGATATTTTTCTTTATAATTCAGCTATAGAGAGGTTAAACAGGTTTACTTTCAAACACAGAAAAGCTAATTACAAAGCCTTGTTTCTGTTGCTGGGTGATAGATTACCTCCTCTGTCTCGTCGTGTTTTTAAATGTCTCATTAAATTGGATTCTCACCAACAAAAGCCCCCAAATAACTAACTTTTAACTTCAGCTGGATTAAAAGTAAGAGGCCTGCTAGGTGGGTTATGATCACTGATGAAGGTGGATGAAGTGATCAGATTTCCGCTCACCTCCAGCCGTGCGCCACTGTTTGTTTATGAGTCTGCATGCAAATGTTCTCAGCCTCAGGCGTGTTTCATTATTTGTGGATGAATCCAGGACTGTTTGCTCATAAAAAAAGATGGACCACACTGTGACAGATTCACGGCTCACCATCAGGTACCATAAAGCAAACATCTCCTGAAGACAGGAACACGATGGTGAGGAGGAAATCACAGAGAGGGCTGTGAATCATCTCAGCAGCTCTTTACCACCTCTGTCTGATTGAAATGCCACAGAGCGACTATCGTATAATCGCAGGGTTTCACACTGGAGGCAGAGTACATCCCTGTGTGTCTGAGACATACTGCCACCAGCATCAGCTGCCAAAATCTACTAATAGTTTCCTTTATTCTAATTCATGTAAACAAGGCTACTTGATATAATCACAAATTACTCTAATGCTGCTTTTCCTTTGTGTTTGGTTGAGCGGTTTGACCAGCTGTCTCCACTTTTAACATGGTTATCTGAGGAAAAAGCAGCAGATGAACCCAGTGAAGTCAAACAGAGGGGAAAAGTGAACTCAACTCTAATTTATATTATGTCCATTTAATAGAGACAGAGTTTTTAATCTTGTCGATTTTAAACACATAATACATCTGTTCGATGTGTCTATTTTTTGTGAATTTTGATTTCCAAGATGGTGCCATGACAGTGCCTCTTGGTACTTAACTCTTTGACATTGGACAGTTTTCTGTTTGACTTTTTTCACCATCTTTAAAGGCTCCAGGAGGTTTTTCTGAGATTTTGGTTGGTGGAGCAGCTGCGCTCTGTGGAATCTGCAGGAGACAACGATGTGGGAAGCGAGCCGGAAGCAGCAGGTTTACGCACAGCAATCCCATCCCTTCACCTGGTGAATGTCTGCTCCCTGGCAAATAAGATGGAGGGCTGCTGTTTCTGTGTGAACGATCTTGGCGTACAGATGTCACAGTATTGAAGAAATCCTGCAGCCCTCATTTAGACACTTTTCTTGAACTGTAAACTGTTTTATTCAGGAGTTATTCTCGTTTGTACTGGTCCTTTGGTGCAGTCAGAATCATGTGGATCTGACCCTGCTCAAGACTGTGGAGATGACAGTGGACTTTGGGAGGAGCCCTCCTGCACTTGCACTGAGAATTCAAAGATTGACGTTGGTTGGGCTCAGAGTTTTAGACTGGGAAAAGGCAGAAAGACTGGTACTCAGTACAGCTGTCTGTTTCTCTGATATAAATGTAAGCAGGCAAAATCATTTGAATGAAATGTAGAATCATTTAATTTCAATGAAAATGCACAGATCTTCTTCTATGATTCAGTTTTATAAAAAATACAAATGCTTTTCTTACACATAGACATACATTACAACAGTATCTTACAGGCCTGTCTTTAAAAGGATGGCAACTATTGATATGGTACAATCAGATAAATTCATGTAGCAAATATGCAGAAGAGGCTGCCTTTAGAGCTTAAATACTTTTAAATAGATCTTTAAATATACAAAAATGCAAACACAGATTTGCAACAAAACACAGCAAGATTATAGGAAATCACTGCAGACAAAATGTGAACATTCATGCAAAAGCTTTCAAAGTCTTCAGATAGGAGATGCAACACAGAATAAATAAGGCAAAGCAGTCTGACCAGCAGCAAAGGAAAAGAGTGAAAAATGTCCTCCTGTCCATGCTTCAATCCACAGCCACAAGTTAGAAAAGTTCAAGTAGTGGCACATTAGGATCCCACAGGCCATTTGTGGAAAGGACTTATGGGTAAACAGAAGGTTTTAGTATCACAAATGATGGTGTTTGAGTTGTTTCTGGAAAAGTTTAAGAGTCATCGTCAGTTTTTATGACGTGGAAGAGGGTGACGTTAAATATCACCTGGTGTCCGTTATTCCAGGCGTACAGCGCTCTCTCTTTAGCATTGTAGTCGAGCATGGAGATGTGAAAGTACTGGTTGTGGAAGGGGATGTCTATGTATTCGTAGGTTGAAGTCTTGGTGGAGTAGGCGTAGTACACCTTTGCTCCGGACAGATGAGAATTAGTGATATAAAGCGTCCCGCAGATCATGAAAGACTCACCTGCATTCCTTTTTGAGTACTCGGTGTTCCAGGTCTTCAGCACCTGCAGTGTGTCTGGGTCGATCTGGGAGATGACGACATTTCCAGCATTCTGATTGGTTGCATATACAACCCACATTCCCAGCTCATCAGCCATAACATCAATATCAGAATATCCTCCCCAGGTGTACGGGTACATGTTGTGGAAACCAGCAAACTCCAAGGCTCTCTGTGCCAACACGCTGCCCGTCTCAAAGCTGTACTTGACGATGATGTTGCTCTGGTACTTGTTGTAGTAAAGAGACCCGTTGTAGACAATGTGATTGGTCCCCTCCCATTTAAAAGGGAGGCTGTATGTTCTTGAAACCACTCCTGCCACAAAGTCCTCTGTGGTCTTGTACTCACGAACAATCTTGCTGTTAGTGTAGCTGTCCATGTACCAAACCTGCACCAGAGAGGGTGTAAAGAAAGTGAAGTGAGACAAACTGAAACCATTGTTGTTGCATTTTAACCATTCGTACCACCAAAACTGAACTTTTCCTGTCTGTTTCTCAAACCCTACAATCGGGAACTTTGATATTTTCAAAAAGCCCTAAAAATGATGATTGAAAAGTTTTGACAAAGAACTAAACAACACAAAACAAAAACAAACAAACAAAAAAACCCAGCTGTCTTGAACCTATTGACACCATTAGGTCTGGTTCAAGATCAATGCAGTTTATCAATTCAATAACTGTATCTTCAGTTTATATGAAACATCATTTGTCATGGAGCACCATTTTAGAAGATTGAGTTTATGGCAGTTCATTGTCTGCATCGTGTTGTCTGTCATAGATCATTTCACTTCTCAAGACAAGATATTAAGACTTTGATAGGTGCTCCAGTGTTGTGTCGTTTGCGAATGATTCATTCAAAAGAACAAGTCTTCTAAGTGAGCATACTGAACTGAATCACTTCCTCGAGTGATTCGTTCATTTCTCAGTTCAGTTAAGCTGTCAACAGCGCAGCTGCCATAGTACGCAGCATTGATGTGCAAGCAGCAGGAGAGCTGCTGCGGGGGGGAAGGAAGCGAACGCACAGCCACAACACTCTCGTCTCCCGGGCCCAGAAGCTGTGAACTGAACTGAAGCCTGAACCGTTCATCTGTGTATGAGTTCAGGAAGTCAGAGTTGCAGGCTTCTCCTGCCAAGCCCTGAGTGAGAAGGTGATTCGGTGAACAAATCTCTTGAACAAATCTTTCCAGTGAACTGATACTAGTGATTCACTACATCTAAGAGAACTGACGTGTCTTATTACAACTGTGCTCCCCCTTTTATTTTGCAGGGTTCGTTTGACTACAGTACTGCTGTATTTACATATTATGTGGCTTAAGATTTCTCAGTATAACTAATTAGATTTCCCTTCACTGTATTCAAGGGACATGTCTTTATTTTTGAAGTGGTGTTGTATGAGTTAGATGTCATGGATGTAGATCGGCTCTGCCCCTATACTAAGACTCTGCCAAGGGAAAAGGTACACAAGGTTGGCTGCAGTTTTCTGCAGACCAGGCTGACTCTGTCATGTAGTTTAGATGATTTTAGAGGAACTCATCTTGGTTTGAGTATACACTAGATTTAAATATCTTCAGCCCTTTGCCATAAGAGCAGTTGTATATTTTTGCGCAATTTGCAGATATGTTGCATGAATTTAGCTCTACATCTTCTTGAGCATTCTGTGTCTGGGAACAATGTTTTAGATACAGGATCAGCTCGAAAAACCATGAACCTAAAACTGCATAAGACCTGCCTCGCTGCTGTAAGAGTTTATGTCAAGAGACTGTATGTTGACTTAAAAACAAAAGTCTTTAGGTTGCTTCTTTCTTGGTGTTGAAATAAGTTCACCTGCCTACAGATATTTGAAATTTCCCCACTTTTCCATATACTGTATATGAATGAAAACAGCTTGTCTGCAGCTGTAGAGTTACTCGGCTTACTTTGAAGAAACAATATAAATATTTTACTGTACACCCTGTAGAGCCCTCAGCGAGAGCTCTACTCTGCTTTCAAGACTCACCCTGTTGTTCCTGGTTGATGCCAGAGGATCAGTCATCCATGCTCCAAACCGGGTTCCAGATGTCTTTATTGTAACAGGTCCAGTGATTTTCATTAATTTCCCACACGCTGTTAATAGAGAAATGCAACGATAAGATGTGCTGTGCTGGTTTTTGTCTCTAACTAGATTTCTCAAGCCAATTTCATGCCTGTGCCACCAGAGTGTTTGCCCCCTGTGCATACTAAGATAGCTAGATGCATAGCAGAGGGTGGCTTTATCCAGCTGGCGGCGTAACGGTGGCAGTGCTGTTTGTAGCTTTAGACTAAAATACACACTTTAAAACAACACATTCATGTATCATCAAACTTTGTATTTATGAGCTGATTATTTATGTTCACTGCAACATGACTTGTTTGTATCATTAGCAAAGACAGGCAAGTCCGTAAATACAAAACATGTTCATTAGCAAATGTGTTTACACATTTATAGAGCTCATAAAAGCTCTGACATAAAGAATATGCATATTTTAGATCACTCTGTTCATTAAAGTCTCTAAAATCTGAACTTGCTGCAGTATAAAGAAACAGATTTGGATAGAAAGTTTCTTCTGAAATTAATGGCAGCTCTCTCTGTAGATAGTTAATCCAAGTTTTCTGCTCACAGTGAGGGAGTTGGGAACAGTATGTGACTTTCAGAGGATATTTGAACAGTTAACAGTTTGCATATTAAAATAAACCACCAAGCTTAAAAGAACAGGCACTGATCGTTTCTTTTCTTTACTGGCAGGAGATCGTGGTGGATCTCCTGGAAGATACTCTGCAACAAAGCACGTTTCAAAAACAGTGTTGGTGTGGGAAGTTACAGAAAGACGGTAGAGGAAGCTTCAAGCCTTTGAGACTCCAAGTGAAGAGCCTTTTCATGAACAATGGACTGCATTTTTTGGTTTTAAGGAATGTTCAGGCCAAAAAGATGCAAATTTAGCTTCATGTTTATCTTAGGAGTTTGACTGTGTCCATATCTAATGGTTTCATTAAGATGAATCCTTCAATACAGTAAAACTGTGTTTGGATGAACTTTCTTCCTGCAAATAATACAGTTTAAGGCTTTCTGATGAAGTATTGTGCAAATGCCATGTTAAACAGTTATTCCCACCCAAATATTCAGATCAACTGCTTGTGATGAAAATTGTTTAAAAACAAAATTGCAAAACTGTGTTTGCACATGCACCAAGGTCCTGAAAATCCTCCTAAGTTATCAGGATCAGCTACATATGTTAACACACCCCCACCCTCTTCACAATCAGGGAAAATAATCTCCAGCTTTTAGGGACATTTGAATTAGATAACGGGAAAATATCAGGGGGAAGCTGTTTGAAAAATTTCCAGGAGTAAATGTGTGAAAAGGTTTTACTTGTGACTTTTCATTCTCTTTGTATTTAATCTCTAGACACTTAGGATTTGGTCCTGTTTTGAGCATCCTTTGGTCTGAACATACTGTCATTTTTACAAACAAGAAAAGCAACATGATGAATTTTAATTTATTTTATTCCAGTTATTTTCTCCAGCAGTGGCTCTGACAACTTAGGACACTGTGTTCAAACTATTCCTCTGCAACTCAAGGCAGTTCTAAGCAAAAGTAGAGTATAAAGTGGTCGCCCTATCTCTTGTAAGATAGTGGAAATCACATGCAGAGTCCAGACTTACTCAGTTTGCCCATGCAGCTGCGGAGCCGGCTGTCCAGTCTCAGGACTCTCTTGTAGAGCTCATCATAGTCATAAGCTCCCAGCTCCTCCTGGATGCCTGTCAGCACTGCAGACAGGTTCCTGATCTCCTCCTTGAACTGGGAGATGAGCGCTGCATCCATTTTATATTGCTCCAGCACGGGGATCAACGGCTTCAGCTCGTCCATTTTGTCCTTAAGCTCCTGTAGAAATGACATTGACAGCAGCAAAAATGTATAACAGAGGGAATGAGAGGATCCGTGGGGAAGATACAAACCTGTATGTTTGCAGAGACATGCTCAAATTTTGTAGCTCAAGTTCCCCTTGAAACATGTTCGAAGTATTTATGAGAAGACCTCCTCAGTCTGTGCTTTTGTTAATTCATCCACAGTATGTTTACCCAGTCTTTTTTTTTTTTTTTTAAAGATACTAAGATGTGTTGGCGATCACATTTTCATTATTCTTTTTACCCATGGCCTTTTAATGAGGTTCTTGCCATGCTAGTGGTTGTTTCATAATTGTTTTTCCAACTCTTCTTGTTTCTCATATTGTGCCACACTGGAGCTGTTTCTACTCCCAGACCAGCTGTCATGTTTAAACCACATAGTGCAGCTGCTGCAGCACAACAGCCTCTGCAACATCTAATCATTTCAACACTTTGTGAGAGATTTCTCCTTATTTATTGTACACAAAGAAAGTCTGCCTACTGACAAAGTAATGAATGCTTTAAAGCTTGCAGGACTCTTTGAAAAAATAGGCAATAAACTCCTCTCCATCCGTGCTAACAGATGGGGCATGTGTCAAACTATAAAATCAAAGTACATATCATATATACAGTACAGGCCAAATGTTTGGACATACCTTCTCATTAAATGTATTTTCTTTATTTTTTTATATGACTATGTACATTAGAGCATTTAGGGCTCACCATTTTACACTTATGATGGCAGACATATACACACAGTGGTGACAATATGTTTCAGGATAAAACTTGGCCTTTAAACGTTAATACTTTAAACCTGAGTTAAACACATTTCTATGTTTAAATTAAAGGTGAGTAGAACTGGAACTCTGCTTTGCTCACCCCTCCTGTTGGTGAAGAGACGGTGGCCTTTGAGGACAAGAATCTTCTATAATGCCTGATCTGTATGACCCTCCATTTGTCAGGTTTTTCCCATCAATCATCTCAAAATCTTTTGCATATAACAAAGATTTTTTTTTCTTTTCCAACAGATGTATAGATTACTACAGGTTGCACCCATAGGACAGTCAATCTTGATGAGCATGTATCTCATGAATCATGACTAAGGTGTAGCTAACAGGAATCAGAGAATCAGCAGCCTCGTCGGCCTGTATTTGTCACCTCAGGGGCTGCACGCTGACTGGTCTATAGTCATCTCTGTGGGGCTGTTAAGGCTGCTCTTCTTTCCTTTTGTCATCTGCTGTGGATCTTTAATACATAGAATGCATTTCTAGTTCATGTGCCTGGCCCAGGCAATTTTGCCATTCAGCTTAGAAATCCAATTCCATTGTTTGCTCAGTCTTTCCACTGCCTGCCATCCACAGATCCACAGGAACAACAGAAATATTCCCTTTTTGCAGCCAGGTTGCCGATAAGAAGATAAATACCAGCCATGTACCAGAACAGTAAATATGAAGATCAATTCAAAGTGCTCTCAGGCAAATAAAAGCTGAGAAGTGCTGAGATCACAAAGCAGCCATAAAGAGATTGACATAAAATTGAAAAAGAGAAGAAAACAAAACTCAATTGATGAACTCAAAACATCTTTGATGAGTAAACTTATTGGTTTATCAGGTTACAATGAACCCCAAACTGAATAGTAAATTCTTGTTCAGTCCTCTTTGTAGCTGTCGAATGAAATCAACCCTCAGTTCTGCTGGAGATTAATCTTTGCTGCTTTTGTGTCTTTCTGTTCATGTTTGAATTGTCTCTGTCTCTTATTTTTCTTGTTTTCTTTTCATGTCCCCATCCATCTGGTGGCCCTGTTTGGGATGCATTACCTGAGATCGTACTTGTGTTCAGATGTCTGCAATTATCTGGTACTTAAAGTAGAAGAGTGTGCTATGAAGAGGCTGTTTGTTGGTTGTTACTTGGCTTGTTTTTGCCACATTGTCCATGGTTTTAGCAATTTTACCATGAAAAAGCCAATTGAATGAAAGCTTTGTATTCCTTTCCTGAAGAGTGACTTGCTTCTTTTTCTGATTACATTTTAAAAACAAATCAAATTACATCATTCACTATTCAAACAAATTTTAACACAAAACACAATACCACAGTCAACTTCACCATGATAAACCTTCACCACTGCAGTGTGCCCTCTTCTGACCATTTCTGAGGGGCCTTCAGACACAAAAACTTCACTTTTATGATCCCAATCCCTTTAATCTGGTTAAAAAATCCAGGCTGTGTTCTTCCCTTATTTCACAATAATTGGTGCAAGTAGCTTTTTTTAGACGTCAAACACATGCAGTAAAGAGGAGGCCAATCTCCAACCTCTGCCCTGGGAAAAATCACTTGATAGGTTACAGTGAAATCATCGCAGTAAAATCTTTTAAAAAGCCAGTCTGGCCTCTGTGGGTCTTATGCAAAAGAGACAGCAGTTTGAAAAGTTGTACTTCAGAGAAAGGGGATTGCTCCTTTTACCACCAGAGACTGGACAACATTAAAATCAACACAAAAATCATCAAAGGTTTCCCTTTTTTTGAGGGATCTGGACAGCTCCTTAAAGTTGACAAATCTTCTCTTGGGGATAGATTAACCCCTAGAAGTTGCAGAAACCCACAAATGTTAAAAGCAGAAAGCTGTCAGTCTCACAGGATGATTGGATCTTACAGTGAGTTAGTACGCATACGTTGGCATGCATATACTGTTGAACAAGTTTCTGGTGGGGCTGGATGGTTATGGCAAATAAAATAATCACGATTATTTTGACTGATATTGAAATCAAAATTAATAAACACGATTATTTGTTGATTTAAAAACTTTTTGTATTTATTGAACCAACAAAACTGAACTTTAAACATAACCTGTAAAAACAGCCAGAAATAAATTAGTATCATATAAACAGGTAGAAAAAGAAATATAATGACAATAGTATATTAAAATAATGATGGAAATGAAAAAATAAATACAACAGTAATTACCTGATCGACATGCATTCCTGCAAAAGTTGCAACACACAAAAAAAACAAACAAACAAAAAAAAACCACTAATAACACAGCCGAAAAACGAAAGACTCATCTAAGGTTTTTTAAAAACCTTTTTTAAAAACAAGGACGGGACACAAAGTGCTTTAATTCTTCAGCTGACCCCTCTGCAATTTTTTGGCTAGGAACACCAGTCTGTTAACCCAGTCTGGCTTTATTGATGAACAAAGGCAGGTAACAACATTGCTCCTTTATCACCTATCTATTACCATAGACCATTTATGGCTACATGAAGTGACTGAATAAGTTCAGTGTGTCCCCTGTGATCGGTGGTGGTGTGCGATTTCGGGGTGGGGGTGTAAATCAGCTGTGTGATCACCAACAGTAAGTCCAAGTGCGCGTATAAACTGATACACGAGTCCGAGCTACAGTCATGTAAAATAAAATAAAAAATAAATAAATATAAAATAATAATAATAAAATAAATATAAAAATAAAAAACTAATTTTTAAGGTGTGGCGGCTTTTATTTAGCCATGGCGGTGCCCATATAGATTGCATATAGGGGAAACCCTGAAGTTGGTTGGGTTGCCTTGGGGAGCAGATCTGATAGTGCGACAAACTTTGCAAACAATTTTCTTTTTCTTGACATCCGTCAACTTGAAGCCCAAATTTTTCCAGATAACTGAAGTTGTCCTACCTTTCTTCTCAACCAAAGGCTGCCTTTCTGCCATGTTTTTGATCGCTTGCTCCACATATTATTGATCCACACACATCACACACTTGCTGCAGCTGCACATAACAGCTGTTTTTCCAGCACAGAAACTAATATACATGCTGCGCTGTGTGGCGCATTAATCGTTTGTCTTTGATTAAAATGTGTTTATGATTGTGAGAAGACAAAATCGATATCATAATTCAAATCGATTAATCGTCCATCTCTAGTTTCTGATAATGTGTCAAATAAATGTAACACTTCATTGAGTGGAAGTGTAGTTGCTTGAATTGTTATGTCCCGATAACAAGCTCAGACCCTTTAACATCAGAACTACAAACCCTCTTTGGTCACCCTCAGTTTTTTCAGCTTGGTCAAAGTCCTTCCTCCAGTTAACAAAACACTTAATGGTATTGCTTGATAAAAGATCTGAGTCATGCTGTCAGTTAATTCACAACCTCAGATCTTTATGTTCACAAGGAGGAAATCTCCTGCATGAACCTGAAGCGAGACCTTCAAAGTGTAGCAGAATAACATTCAGTATTAATGCACCATCAAAAATACAACAGTCTGCCCTGTGAATGTCTGACTTCCTCTGCAAATGTTGAAACCCAAATTCAGACCTTTAGTTTAACTTCAGATTTTCTTTAATGCACTCAGCATTCCTGCAATGTGTCCTGTTTGAATTTGTTTGTTCGTGTATGGGCTTCTCTGTTTTTTTACACACTTCAGCCGTTTGTAATGCTTTTATGTTATGCGCCTGGACTGCCTTTTTTATGATAAGGTGCTGCTGCTAAACCTGAATTAAATTTGAGGTTGAAAAACACTTTAAACGTGGTTGTCTTAATGAATGTTGCAGGAAGCTATTTCAGGTAAGCACAAAGAAAAGGCTGAACAGAAAAGATTTGTTTCAACAAAGTTAAACAAGAATATCAGTTACCTGGAAGTTTCGGGCCATGATGGATTTCCTGTCGTCCTCGATCTGTCTGAATTTGGTCCTCAGGCCCTTCATCTGGTTCTCCATCTTCATGACATATTGGAAATCCCTCTGAGTCCTCAGGTTCAGCACCTCAATCGACTGAGACATGTTCTGCACCTGAAAAAGAGCAGGCCATAATAAATAATCACCTAAAACAGATTTATGTTTGCACAGTCATGTACAGCATGGTGAAGTATGCAGAGTTTAGTGCAGCGTGGTTAACTCGGCGAGTGAATAAATGATGCTTTTCTTCTCTTCGTCCTTCCTTTCACTGCAGTTAATTGAAAGGCACTTTGATAGGTTTTCCCTGGTGGGCTGTGCTCGTGTGTGTGCCTGAATGTGTAAAAGGCTTTTGTTAAAAAAGAACAAAAGGAGCTAAGCCTAGCAGCAGAAGCAGCAGCATCACTGTATTAATGCATATGTTAAAACATCTGGTTGTTGTAAGAGTATTACTCTGATATGAAGGGTTTACAGCTTCAGAGATTTGCGCAAGGAGATCAGAGAATGCGTATGGTTTTATACGTGCATGATGCCAGGGGTTAAGTATGTCAGAAACAATCAGACTTTGACGCTTTTTTAATACTGCGTATGTAACATTACATAGGAGAGATCTGGGTTGGTTGTTGCACCTTTTCGTCATTCAACATAAAGAAAACCACAGCATGGATTGTTGTATTTGATCCCAAGCAACCTCTTTGAGTTCTTTGTGAGTGCAAACAGCAGCAGAGTCACACAGATTAATACATCGAGTGTAAAAAGGTTTAAAGTGGAAGGTGCTCAGTGTGACATAAGTGGATGAATCATTTAATTCGCAAAGCCTTCATGTATCTTAACATAGAACAGATCATTGAATATAAAACAGAAGAAAATACTCATTCGATGAGACAGGGCGTCATAGAAATGATTAAAATATTGTCTTAAACAGCAGCCTTAATGTTTCACTCCGATTTTTTTTTATCACTACTTAAAGTGTTCTCAGTGGTCGTTAAATTGTGATTATGAAGTTTTTAGCCTCTGCAGAGCTCATTAGCAATTCACTTCTGAGTCGTGGGTTAAGACAGCGCTGTTCTGCACACTCCTCTTCATGCCTAGCCTGTAGCCTATCATTGCTGGTGCAGTAGAAGTGGCAGGTAACATAGGAGCTATTCAGCTCTTGGACACTAATGTCTTTTGGGACATGATGAAAATTAATATCATAATTAGCTTTCTTACGAACATTGCAATCCACTAATGCACACGCTTGTTCAACAATTATCCTCTCTACTTCTCAGAGTCTTATCTGCATAGCGGGGCTCCGGGGGCAGAGCTTGGATTTGTGACGTATGAAATCTCACTGTGTCTGAACCTGCTGTTTGGGTCTGCCAGAGATACACAGAGATTTGAATGCAGAAATACTCAAAAATGCAATTTGCAGCTACGTTTCTCATGATATGTCCTGTAGCATCAGAAAAAAATGCCATATGAACATGTAGACAACAAGAAAAACATGATTTTCATCAGAGTGGGTCTTTAAGTCATCATCTTTCTTATTAAAATATGAATGATCAAAAAAAATCTCAGCCCTCAAGATGAGACTGTAAAATTAAAACAGGTCATTTCAAGTTTTATGTAATCGCCAGGGGTAGCACCTTGTTTGTCTCTTTCTGGTGAGTCTAACCTTCACTGTTTATAGTCAGTTACACATACAGAGACTTCGAAGCTGTGCACTGGAAAAAAACCCTGACTGTCTTATGATTTAATTCCAATTAACTGATGATTAACATGGTGGCTGAAAAGGTTAAAATTACTTGCAACAACTACAAGAATCTCCAGTGGAAGAAATGTGCTGCATGTTTAGATTTAATACAAAATCATGGACACACAGAAATCAAACAAATACAGCAATAGAAGCACACTGTAAACAGACAAAAAAGTTAACTCAAAGGCAAATATCAGAAATTTATGCAAGAGCAACACAGTGCAGTTTGAGACACGATACTGGAAGTATTCAAGCCTGCAGGGCACTTAAAGGAACAGTTTATTGTTTACTTCCCAGGTTACTTTCTTTTAACTCCACTTAATGATTTGTTTCAATGAGAAGCCGGTATTATAAAAGGTAGCACCTGAGTGCTACTCTGCTATTTTCCTACACATAGGTGCAGCTACGACTGCATCTTCTATCATCCTGTCTCAATGCTTAAGGCGATGGGTCAATTGTCTGAGGCTTAAACCATCCTTAATGCTCAAATAGCTATGAGCACTTTGTAAAATGTTGACTGTGCAATAATTCTTCTGTGTATCCATTATATTTTTAAGCATGTTAAATACGTACAAATAATATCTTTATAGGCTAAATGAATCCTGCTCCATGCAATGTTAGTCTTCTTGGAGTCCCATATGAGCTGCGCTGTACCTCTTTTGCGGATATTGTTATGCAAGCTTATGGTGGTAGGGAAGGTCGCCTGGTATGGTTGTTCTGAGGGATTTCTTTAGCTGTTGTTTTCCATGCCTTGGCTTTCCATGTATGTCATACTGCCAAATCTAACAATTGCTTGCAATAAATACATTTTGACTAAAGTGGTCCTGACTGAAATGACAGGAGCTTCAGGGCTGACCGAGCTCCATAGCTGATGCTCACATGTATTCAGAGTCCAACAGCTGGGCCAAGTTGACTCATTGAAGCTAACTGAGAGTTGAAGCTAACTTAACCACACTTAGAAGAGGTGACTTTCGAAGAGCTAGCTGTCTGTCAGCAAGAATAACTCTCAAGAAAAGTTCTGTGGATTATACAGCTGTGCTTTTTTATGGTTGTCAGTGAAGCCCCGCCCTCCCCCTGTTCAACACACTGCTCCAGCTTTATACAGTCTGATATGACTGCCTATCACTGCCTCCTGTTCCTCACTCTCTCCCATCAATGATAAACTGTTCTATTTAGCACCTCCACAGGCCCCCAGCACTTGTGTTTTTATGTCTCTTTTTGTAACATTTCCTCAAATTAAGATCAGTTAGCCTGGCTGGTGTCCTGATGGAGTAAAACATTTGTTGAATAAAGATCAGATATATTATTTCTGATGCATTCAAAAAAATCAGGAAATCCAACAACTATTTTTCTCTAGTGACTTAGCAGTAAGCAGAACTGTCTCTCCGTTTAAATATTTGATCGAGAACAAATTGCGAGCTGAACTAACATACCAGTTCAACTAGAAAAGTAGTGGTTCATCAGATTACCACTGATTTCATGATGGATTATGTTCCACCTGGTTTTGCTCCTAATCCTGCCTAAACCAAAGCTAGCTAACACATGATTGATCAATGTTATTTTAACAACAAACAGAAACCAGAGATTTTCTTTAACTAAAATTACGACTGGCCTACAATTACTGCATGCTTATGCAGAGTCTGCCAATACTGATAATCCAAAAATATGACCAACTGTTAATTTCACATACACCAAAGACAGAGATCAATGGACTAAAGAGGGACAGTTTCCCTTCATCGATATTTCTCTAATTTAAACCAATAAAGACTCCTAATGAAGCTGCAGAAATAATAAAAGTATGAACTAACAATTCAACACAAAAAGAGCATGAGAAAAACTTTAGGATCCCTTCCTAGAAGCTCTTACTGTCAATATTTTTAGTTGCAGGTTTTACAAATGGTTGTAGTTATTTTATTTTCCAATTGTCTTCTATAAGCAGAAGGAAAATGAAAAGTCTGTTATCACAATAACAGCATACTGGGTAGTTAAACTCTCATAACATGAGCTCACCTTCTCCAGCAGCTGCCGCAGTTGTCTGCTCTTTGCATCTCTAGAGCACAGGCTCTGTTCTGGAGCCACCACTGTGCAGATACATCTCCCATCAGCATCCTGTGCCGAGCTGTACACCTGCCAGCCCTCCTTTGGTCCGATGGTCTGCAGGTAGAAACAAAACCAATATGAAGTTAAAAACAGAAGTTCTGTATGAGTTTACCTCTTTGAATATAAAGCTCTAAAACTCAACTCCAAACACAGCAGCGAGGTGATGCTGTAACAGATTCCTCAAATAATCACATAATAGAGGCATTCCTTATGGTTCAATGCTGGGCCCCTTTGTTTTTATGTTTATCATTATTACTTTTAAGCTGTTAAATAATGAGATTAATCTGTGATGCACATCTGGAGCTGATGGTTATTTCCTAAAAAGGACCTCAACAAGGTGTCTTGTGGTTAAGTGTTTTCCATTTTTTGGTCTTTGTTTAAAGACATCTTTGGTTGAAAGTCTTTTAAAAATAGTATTAGCTGTCATTCTTCACATGAAATTCCTTGTATAAAACAAATGGTACCTTAGTCCCATTGTTTCATTGATGTTAAAACTACAGTTTTATGTCAAGATTAATTGTAATCAGGCAGTTGGTTGCCTGCTGCACTATATCTAATCTATGGAATGTTGAGTTAACAGTCATGTATATATTGTCAAATCTGCAGGTCCGTACTGTCACAGAGTTGTGCAGAGGCTTGTTTTACATTGTCAAAATTAAAATAATGGCCTACAACATTTTTTGACAAGAATACATTTTTAGCCTAAATCATCTTTTGATAATGCTGGCCATCTCTGGTAAAATGGCCTAAACCCTTAGTTGAAAGGATCACACCATGATCCTTTCAACTAGGAAAGCATCCCTGACGATATGCATTTTTTAAAATCTTTTTTTGCATCATTGGCTTTATTGTTTTTTAAATTTTTTTATGGTGGACTGTGGGAAAGTTTAGCCTGGAATCAACAAAAACCTATATACCCTGGTGCCACAGGGATATTTTAGGCAAGGTGAAGTTACACCAATGACTTGCTGGTGTAGGATAGTTTTACGTTAAAACCACGAGACCTCATTATGATCAGTGTTTTTGCAATAAAACCTGCAAGTCGGAGACTTCTCATGTATCAAGGCACAGCTCAATATCAGCTACCTTAGTAGCTGTTACTACAAATCTTTATCATAGTCATATTTTCTTCAGTACTGACCAGAAGCAACTAATGCAGTCAGCATGCAGTAACTTAATAGTTGGGAGTTATAAACACAATGCCCATGACTAATTTTCCACCTCTGCAGGTCAATAGTTTTCCTAAACTGTAAGGGCTCTATTTTCGTGCGCGCCGGTGAGGCGGCGGAGGGCGGCAAGCCCCGCGCAGTTGTATTTTCGTCTGGCGGAGCCCGGCGTACAGCCAGTTTGGTATTTTCGTGGACTGAGCCGCACGGAGGCGAGCCGAGATCCGCCAAGCTGGGCGTGGTGGCGTGGCAGGGGGAGGTGTCGACAGAATCAGCTGGCGCAGTGACATTTTCGTGCTCGCCACCAGCGTGTAAAGTGCGCTGAAAGCTCGCCGATTCAAACCTGGTCAGCTTTCAGCGCAAGGCGGAACGCAGCTGGTCTAGTAGTATTTTGGTAGACCGGCGGCGTATCGACATACGTCACTGATGCCTCACCGGCAGGTTTCCACAGTGTCAGGCACATTTCAGTGCAATAAATAATCATCAACAACTATTAATCTGAGTCAGCACATACATTTAGATCTATATTGATATATTCTGATCTATATGTGATCTGATGAGCGCGTTTGGCACGCGTTTGGACACACAACCTGACCGAATCAACACAGCTGAAATTAAATATCTAGTAAATAGACACACATGATGAAGTTAACAAGATATGTAATTCGTCTCCCTCCTTTTCTTTCTTCCTCTTCCTCTTATTTCTCGCACAGCTCGACCTGGACACGTCTCCGTGTCCTCTGTCCGTCTTGCTGCTGCTGCGGCTGAACAGATGATTTTTTTCAGTGCTCAGATGCGTTATCTACTTTAAGCCGACATATGGATATTATAATATTCAGTTTTGTGGGCCAAATTTATTCTATATGCCAACATCTATGAAAGAAAGAGCCAGGCCACAGAGTGCGATGCGTCATTTACGCACAGATGGTTCCGATTTTAATGCCATTTTTGGAGTTTATGTTGTGATCTGTGCGCTCAACCCACCTTTGTCACGTGAGGTTTGAATATGAGCAACTTTATTTGAGTGTCTTTATTTGTGGAAAAGGGTGTTTGTCTTACCACTGGGTCCAACATTACACACACCAAATCCATCTGTGCTTATATGAGAGAGTGTGGAGGACACTTGTTGAGGAGCTGCCCTCTGTCGCCATCTTGTGGCATTACTGTCTTAAGACATCTCTTGATCTCTTTGACTACTTCATGAAAATAGTAATACGCCTCGCCTGTGGTGGATTTAAAGGCAAGGAGAGGAGCTTATGTGATTGGTCAAAACAGGTCTCGGCTGTGTTAAACCCACTACACGCCCTCTCTCCTCCCCATCTACGACTTATGGTGCTGGGAGGAGCTGAGTTAGGGAGGGGGGATACTTACGCCGGGCTGCGCGGCTCACCAAAATACCAAAATGTGCTTGGGAACGCCTTGTCAGCACGGCGGATCTGACTGACGCTGCGCTTGCGGCACGTCTCCGGCGAGGCACCAAAATAGAGCCCTAAGTGTTTAGGTCTTTTCAATGAAACAAAAAAAGTCATGAAGTTTGTGTTACTTTATCCATCAAATATTTTCCTGGTTATTCCTCAAACCTGTGGTCATGATTAAGCTGATACTTTAATCCTGCAAACTCAGAAAAAAACAATCCTGAAGATGCTTCCTATAAATATTCATGCACTCTGCCACCAAAGACTCTGCAGGTAAACCTTGTCATCCACTATAATCCAGGTGACATATCAGAGGAGAGGACGGTGCCTTTGGAACAGAGGGGGTTTATGAACAAACAGAGGGATTGAGGAGATTTTATGAAGGTAAATAGTAGCTGAAAAAACAAAGAAACGAGGCCAGTGCTGACAGAAAGCAAAAGGAGGACCTGACTGTCAATTAGAGGCAAACAGACAGAGGAAGAAAAGTAAGTACACAGGCAGATGCATCAGCAGTGAGAAGTGCAAAGACAGCAAGCATGAGAAGATAAGGTGAGGTTAGGGATAAATAGGTAGAGCATCAACATGTGCCGAGGAGAAAATGAAAATAAAGCCAGAGAGTAAAAATAAAGGCTGCTGCTGCAGGTGGAACAGGCAGCTCAGTCAATCCAACTGATGCTTAAAGACTGATCTAATATCACCACACTGCAGCAGTGTCAGCACAGGTGTGCATGAGTAATTAATGTTCCTATAAAAGACCTGGCTGACATGAGAATAACAAGTTTTAGAATCAATTGGAGTTTCTCGTGTCAGTCATAGCATAAGCTCAATGATTTGCCTCCAGCCTACTCTGACTAACTAATTACATGATGACCACTCCTCTCCAGCCTCAGTTTCACAGGTATGTTGACACCAAATTAAAGCTTGCAATAAGAAATACATAAGATCTGGTTGAAATTTTAAAATCAAGGTGTAAAGTTACCAATACCTTGGTACAACGGTTAGAAATTTCAAATTTGCAATGTCCAGCCAGGCTTCCGAAATAAATGTAATAACTAGAAACACTAACTGTAGACTGTGCTTGGATCTGAAAATGGATTAGACTGTCAAAATAGTAGCTTTAGTTCAACATGTGTTTACATGGACGACTAATGATGTGAATAAAGTCATGAACAGAATGAAAATGCTTCATAAAAACACCTTCACAGAGAAAAATGGTCTAATCTGGCTGAATCCCATGAGAGAGGTTGTTTGGATCAATATCCAAGCAAACATTATATCTGATTTTTTCTACCTAGTAGTTTAGTTTCAGATTTTTGCTGGAATGGATGGAGACATTAAAGTAGCAAACTAATTTAGCCTGTCGCCAACTAATTTTGTGCAGGAAATTTCGAAAGAACTCAGGATAACTGTTTGTAATCAACTAAAAAGGAAGAAAATGAATGAAACACAGATATCCAAAGTCTTGCCCAGGGACAGGAAAACGTGGAATCAAATCAGTGGAGGTTCATTCATCTGGAAAATGAAGGTATATACAGCTGAGGGATAAGGTACACAGAGCTGTAGGATACAACTTAAAGAAAAAAAAGGAGCTCACCTGAGGAAAAGTGGGTAAGGAGGTTAGATAACCCTTGACCTGCTATTAAAATGATGTTTGGTGGTTTAAAATAATTTGAAAACATGAAAACCATGATATTGAGGAGAGCTTTTAGAAATGGCTCCAGATTAGAGCCTAAAGCATACTGATTTGTTGAAATGGACGGCTGACCAAGCTGCATGATTGTTTGTCTGTGGAATAAGAACACGTTGGACTATTTTATGCATAAAAACAACATGTTGTACCTTATGCAGTTTGATCGCCTTTTATTTTTCTTTTGAAATTGTGTTGTTAATGAGGCACAGAGTAATTTTTCAATCCACTCCATCTCTCCCTGTGTTAGAAGATCAGACTTCAGGGCTGCGAGTGTTTCACAAAGCTGAGCACAAAGTCTGGTCATTAATCATCCTCACAAAACAGCATCCAGCAGCTCAAAGCTCTCCCCTGCCACCAGCACAGTTCAGCTCTCTGCACAAGCAGCACACGCACACACAAACACACACACACACGCACACACACATACAGAGGCACTAACACACACGCATGAGTGGTTATATACTGTATGTGCCACACACACGCAAACTCATACAGGGTTACCCAGACATATACATGTTGCCGCTGCAGTTTTTAGGTTTGATCTCTCCTTCGTGTTTCGCTCAGGGTTTCACTAACGGCTTTTTAAAGACTGAATTCATCAATACTTCAGGTTTGAACTTGCCAACAGACATGACATTTAGCAACAGCATTCATTATTTCCTCAAAAAAAAAAATACAAAAAAAAAGAAAATATATCACGCTCTGATGAAAAAGAGCCCATGGTGCCGATGCCATGTCTTTTTACATTTGATAGGACTTTTAGGGACGAAATCAACATCAAGTTGCGATAACTATCGAGGTAGTTTTTTTTTTTTTTTTTTTACCCACAGGGATCCTGTCAACCCCGCCCCTTTGCAGAGACACCAGCCAGAGATCCAGAACTGAAGCGGAACAATAATCCACTGGGGTCAGCTCTTCCAGTCTACCTTTAATTTTTAAGAAAAATTGTTAAATTGTTAGAGTAATATTGTTGGAGTTTGAATGTCATCAGACAGCTACCTTGTCTTGGCACTAGTCCTGGATGTCTCTTTCGTGTGTAGCCTACTCATGTGCTGTTAAGTGAGTCTGACAGTGATAATTTACTGCAGACCCAAGAACACCTTTATGTCGTACTGAGTAAGAATGAGAGTCAATGGATCGAAGGAGAGGGGATAAAATTCTGTGCCAGGAGAAATCCAAGTTACCTTGTGGTGTAGGTGTGGAAACTGAGAGATCAGTGAGACTTGGTAACAACAAGTTTTCAGAACCTTATCTGGTTTAGAAGATATTAGAGGCTCACATACAGCTGCAGTCTGCATCATGCACCATCCAGACCCACATCAAAATTCACAGTATATCAGTACTGAGCATAAACCAGGCAATGGGTAAGTTGCCTTATCAACCCATTGACTGAAGCACACTGTAGGCGCAGGTACACATGAGGTGTAGTAAAACAGCTTTCTGACAGCATCTGTATCTGTGTGTCACATGACCGGAGAAGGATAACATGCATGGGTCTTGTCACTGCAATTACCGCTGTGCTCATTTAGAGTTTTATTTTAAGTTACCACCTTGGGGCTTGTGACAATGGTATATATATATATTTTTTGCTGCAATATTACAATGAAAGAGCATTGTTTTCATATGGTACAGCTGTTTGTGTTGTTCTCCACGGATCATTTCATAGGTTTAAATCAGCTTGTTGTTGGGTGATCTGATAAAGTAACTGACAGAAAGATGCTCAGACAGCGTCAGCCTCTAATAATGACTCATCATGACTTTATTACTTTTATTGCCGTACAAAAGGTCAGCCTCACTCCTGCTGCCCGTTAATGTTGGACTTTATGAGGCGACCTGATTGAACTGTGAATTAGCACTCAGACTTTTCAGGCCTCAGTGAAACCAAGAGTGACATTAACAGAGCTGGGTTATATGAAGGTACCTGTCAGCCGGCCAGTATAGAAGAGGCAGATACAGAGGGAAATTATTAGCATTATATAAAACATGATGCTTATTTTTATGCTGTGTTATTCAGATACAGCCTAGTAGTTCTGTGAAATGTATCTGTTGTGTTTACGGCAGAGCTGCTTTACCATGAGTGCTTGACTTACATTAATATTGCTGAAAGGATGCCAGTTTATTAGGTGCTTTATTGGACCTTTATTTCTAAAGGGCCTGTACGAGGTTTTATCGGTGAGTGTACTCATAAAAAGCTGCCTCTGCTGTGGCTATGCTGAGAAAGAGAGCTTTTATGGCATTGTTAGCAGCACAGCTCCAAGGGTCTCAGTCTGTCTGCAGTTTTACCACTTTAATTTAGACTTAAATACCTTTGCATCTATTGGATGGACTTTCACGAAACCTTGTGCATTCACCACGCTTTAGAAAATGAATCTGATAATTTAAAAGATGAACCCTTACAGCTACTATGACTTAAAAATAATGGTTTCAATTTAAAAAAAAATGCAAGTTATATATAAGATAAAGATGTGTATTTACATACAAAAAGTAAGACATAACATTGGCACATTACTATTACTATTATTACTACTGCTGCTGCTACTCCCCATCCTTTGTGCTCCGGTTACCCGTCCTCCTCCCCAGAGAGGAGCTGTGAAGTCTGTTGGCATTGAGGGACAAAGGAGTTTTTCAGTCTGTTGGTCCTGCATTGAACAGTCACTAAACAGGCTCCTCTGGTAGATGATGGTGGTGTGCAGAGGGTGACTGGCATCGTCCATCATGTCCAGTAGTTTGTCCATAGTCCTCTTCTCTGCCACTGTCAACAGAGAATCCAGATTCATGCCAATCACAGAGCCTGCTCATCTGATCAATTTTTCCAGCCTGGATGTGTCTTTCGTGAATGTGCTGCCCCCACTTCCTGCATACCACAGTGTAAAAAAGGACACCTTCTACCATGGACTGATATAACATCCTCAGGAGTTTTATGCAGGTGTTCGAAGGCCGCAGCCTCCTCAGAAAGTCCAGCCTACTCTGTCCTTTCCTGTGCAGATGGTCCGTGTTTAATGTCCAGTCCAGCTTGTTTTCTGGCCACAGTCCAAAGTACTTGTATGAGTCTACAGCCTCCACCTTGACTCCTTTGATCAGAGCTGGTCTTGACCTTGGTCTGGACCTCCCCAAGTCAATGACCAGCTCCTTGGTTTTTGAGGTGTTAAGGAGCAGAGCAGATGGTTCCTTTAACACCAGACAGCAAGTCCCTCACCTGGTCCCTGTACTCCTCCTCTCTGTCAGAAGTCTGCTGTTTACAGGGTAAAGAGAAGAGAGGCCAGCACTGTCCCCTGAGGTGCTTCAGTGATGCTGATCAGTGTCAGACATTATGTCCTTTATTCTGACATGCTGTGCTCTGTTGGTGAGGTAGCTGGAGATCCAGGTCACCAGACAGGGGTCCACTTTCATCCTGCTCAGTTTGTCCTCAAGCTAAAGGGGCTGGATAGTATTGAAGGCACTCAAGAAATCCAGAAAGAGGATCCTCATGGTGTCAATCCCCTTATCCAGATGTGAGTGGGCACAGTGGAGCAGGTAGAGGATGATGTCCTCCCACTGTTTTCAGAGCCAGCAGCTCCTCTTTCAAATAAGCATGAAAACTGACTCTAGTTTGGATTTTAAAGTCTGAGATGATTTTGGGGATGTCTATGGTAAATGTATAAAAACAAACTCAATAAAATTAAATTTAATAAAAATAAATAAATAAATAAATAAAAAGAACAGAAAACACTATGTCACTGTAAGAAGATTAAAATGAGTAAAAAAGGTATGTGTGAAAAGAGAGGTTTAAAGCACTCAGTAGTGCTAAGGAGTAGTGGAGAGGCAACCATCTCCTACAGCACCATGGCAACTTATAATGAAATATGAACTGTAATGACATCAGGAGATGGCATGTACAAATCCGTACAGAGATACCACCATAGGGGACTTGTCATTGAATCCACTTTGCAGGATGTAAGAAAGGAATCTAAGACATGCACTTGCCACTTTCAAACCCTTAAAGGAGTAAGAAAGAAAAACTAATTCAGCTCTTCATGCTGAGATAACAGCTACAGATCTGGATGCACTTCAGTCTGTAGGGAGTTTCACACATAATGGCTAGATTTGCTGGTACTAGGAATGGGAATTTCGACTAATTTCCCCGCCGACTAGTCGCAAATTTTATTGCGACTAGTTTACTAGTCTATAAGCAAGAAAACGTGCGATTTAATACACATATTAAATTAAAAGTTTAAAATGCAAATGTTTTGTGTATTTAGAAGCTATTTTAGCCCAAACATTCAGGAAAAGCTGTTAATTTAAATTCTAGTGATGTAACAACAACTGACTGAATAAAGGTGAACCATTTAAAGAGAAATACATTTCTGATACGTTTGCCAATGCAATGCAAGGCATTTGTTATGAATACTGTTTCAGTGTGAAAGTTGAATGCAGCAGCATGACAATTCCAAACGTCCTACCGCACAAGAAAATCAGCACAGTTTATTATTTTGATGCAGCAGATGACAACAAGGTCATCTGTCGGCTGTGTAAAAAGAAACTCGCTTATAACCACTCTACCGGAGCGATGAGAAACCACATCCATAGTAGACACCTCGATGAAAACCTGCTTACCGCCTGTTTAAGTGTGTGAAACACATTCCTACAAATGACAAACCAGACTGATGCACAGAACTTATGGCCATGTCCATATTACATTAATTTACTGATAACTTGGGAGGGATGATAGCAGACTGAGATCCAATACTGGGTTGGTTAGCCATGTTATGTGATGGTTTTGCACAGGCTGGTGAGTTATCATTGAAATCAGCTACGTAATTGTTATTTCATGAGCAGGACTGAAGCAGTTTAAGAAGAACAAAATTGTATTAATATATAACATCTTTATTTTTATTGTGTCCACATTTGGGAAAAAATATGCAATATTGTTATTTTTGGAATGAGACCAAAAGAGTGTTAGGACCAAGGACCCTGATTTAAAGGAAAATCTTTTAAACTTCTGCAGTGGCTGCATTTTATCCAAGTTTAAACTTCAGTTTAATAAAGACTATGAGGAAGAGGCTGAGCAAAAACAGAAGGAGAAGGTCCACACTCTGAAAACCAGCATCTTTGGTGTAGAGCTTCAGCAGGAACAAGAAGTCTCACCAAGGTGAGGAGGTGGAGAAGATCAGCCTCCATCTTCAGGAACACCCTCAAGTCTTTGTTTTGTTCTTTAAAATTACTCTGTTGTCCCTCACAATTACAGTAATCTTGACAGAATAATGAGAGTCAAACAAGGTCTGTCCCTGAAGCAGTTTGCTCTCATCTGAATAACAGTTTGTTTACAGCTTACATGCTACACAAATCATTGATCACTTAGAAAAATCCTGTAATGTCCGCCAGGCACCGACGAAGTACGGACAACACTGTAAGATAAGATTGATAATGCTCAGGTGTCCTGCCAGTTCCACACACAATACCATCTCTGTCCTGTTTGTTATTCTGTCATCAGACTAATGTGTTGTAGTGCAGCTCAAACACACCAACCATTATCATTGTCCTCATCAACCTCTCTGTGTTTGAGAGGGAGAGGTGGGGGGCTGATGAGGGAGTCAAAGTGAGTGAAAAGGTTAATTTGAGTAATATGTTGAAAACGGAGTCAGTAAATGATTCTGGAGAGTTTGCAGCTGTCATCAGATCCAAATCACTTACTTTGCCCTCCCCTGTGTCCCTGAGTGAGTCGTAATTAAATACCTTTACAAAAAGCATTAAAGGTTGTAAGTCATAGGCGGTACATTTTTATCTTTGGTTGGAAAAACTTTCTTAATCTTGCCCTTTCATCTTGCAGTCTTTTTTCAGCATAAGTTACCAAATTTAAAAATAGCATTTCTAAAATGATAAGCCTTTTATTTTTTTTTATTTGTTCTTCTGAATAACAGTGAGATCTGGCTAACATCTGTGCTTGGTCCAAAAAAAGTTATTTTGCCGCTCCCCAGTTTCTTGCAAGCAAAACAGGTTATCCCCCAGCTAAATGACAATGCTTGGACTGAAAGCTGGTCTATATACTGTATTTGTATGTGCACTGTAAATGAATCTCCACCCTGCAGAGTATAGAGGCGCTCTGTTGATCTAATTTCTCCAGCCAGTCTCTTTACAGTTGATTCCATTTACTGAGCTGCAGCTGGATAAGTCTCGAAATCAGAGGAGCTCCTTGGGGGGATACAGGTCTGAAACTAACTCTAAAAATTAAAAGACTGTCAGCTGCAGTGGCAGGACTCAATCAGTTATATAAAGTTGATAAATGGAGAGGGAGGAAACCATGCCCTTTAACAGTATCAGCAGGAGCTGCAGAGATGCAACAAATAGACAAAAATGTCCAAATTTCAAGTTGGTGATGATGGTTGTGTTGTTGGAGTATCTTAACTTTAGTCACCACTGTTTAATATGTTTGAATACTGAGCTATTGGACTCTGTTTCAAATACATAATCACAGGGCCTTTACTTTGTGACAAGACTTTGACAGACATGGACACAACAGATTACACAATATCAGACCAATCATTTATGTTGTACAAGCTCACACCAAAATCAGGCTTGGTTGGTTCAGTGCATATAGACTAAAATAAACAAATTCATGCTCACAGAATATTTCTTTAAATTTTGAACTAAGTTTATGGTTCAATACATGAACTAGTTTTTGTTCATCTTATTTAGTTGCATCTCAATTATCTGTCAGTCAAGCCTTAATACCTCATTCATATTTTGTATGCCAAATGAACTTTTGCCCTTTCTTGTATAATCATTGGCAATTATTGATACTTAATTTAAAAGCCAAAAAGTCCAATTTGAGTATGCTTTACTAATTTCATATGGGAAAAAAATAATAGTGCAGCAGATAGCCAGAACGATTGTGCATTTTGTGATAAAAGCATGAAATTTGGTACACTTATAGCCAAAGGCATTCCCAAAAGATTTGGATGTGGAGGCATCATGAGTTTTCAACATGGCGGCCATTTTTCAATATGGCCGCCTGCAACAACTGTTTTCTTATGAAAGATGGATATAATATGGCATTTCAGACTTATTTGCCATACATAGTACTTGGTAAATGTCTTTAAAGGGGACCTGCCATCAAAATTTCATACCCATTTTTATCATTTTTTCATAATCCTTGATGTCCTCTGATCATGTTTGCAACATAATTTTAGCTGAAAAGTTATTTGATGGTTTGTTTTAGTATGCCTAAAAAACCGTACGGGAAAACCAACTGGTTTTGGCTCATTAACATTTATGGTAATGAGCTTTGCTCTGATTGGATCGCTGCTGTGAAGCCTGCTGTGCTCTGATTGGCTCAGCAGTGGAGGTTCGGATTTCGGTTTATCCATTTTGCTAATGTGTGCTAAAGTAAGGTGGCCAGATGTCTGTAATGATATCCGGGGATATTCGGTGTGGCGGCGGTGCAGGGGCTCCAGGGGCTGTGTGATGACGGACAAAATCTCGGTACTATTTAGTAGCAGGGCATGCCCCTTGTAATAACCCCCTTAAAAGCTGTTGTTCAGGACTGCTAACTTGTGCTTCCTACCTATTCGGCTACTGTAATAACCGTTGTTCGAGCCCACACGCAACATTTTTGCTCTCATTCATGAAACGGTTAAATCGGGGACATTTTCTGGGACAGCTTTTGCCGGGGACAGGTCATCTGTCCCTGGAAATCGGGGACAGAAACAGATGTCCTGTCTCATTTCAGGAGTTCGGCTTGGTTGGGACCTTGTTCTGAGGTTCATTATCTTAATCTATGACCGAACCAGCACATGCACAGAAATCAATATGGCAAGGAGGAAGTTATTGGCAAAGAGGCACAATGTGCAAGCAATCCCTCCCACCAAGGCTGCCCTACAAGAGCATGTCAAGAGAGCAGTATACCAAGGAGGCCACGTGTGGGGTACAGGCCTGGTGTCAACACCGGAACTACCTTCACCGTGTAAATGGGGCTGGTCAAAGACATCTGAGGGAGACTTTGAACCCTTCTGGACATCCCTACCAGATGCTGGCCAGTCCAGTTATGAACTGGTCTTTTGCAAATGCAAGAAGGGTTGTGTTGGGCAGTGCAAGTGCAAAAAAGCCCACTTACAGTGCACAGCCCTTTGTTTCTGTGAAGGCAAGTGTGAATAGTCTTCCCTGTTATAGACACTGGGTTTGTCTTGCTTAATATTAGCCTTGTGAGATGGAAAGAAGACTCTTGATAATTCTAAAGTTCTTAATGCAAATTCTGTATCAAGAAAAATTTACGTTTTGACACAGAGATATCCATATCTAACCAGTTGGCGGCCATTTTGAATTTTCAATGAAATTGCTTCACTATCCAAAAGACATTTAACAAGTACTATGTATGGTAAATAACTTTGAAATATCATATTATATCCATCATTTATAAGAAAACAGTTGTTGTTGGTGGCCATATTGAAAAATGGCTGCCATGGCCGCCATGTTGAAAATTCATGATGCCTCCATGCCTTCATGCTTTTATCACAAAATGCACGATTCCTTTATATTCCAGACTTAAGCTGCTGTACTATAAGCAGTTTGGGAGAATTAGAAACAGGTGTAACTATAATTTCTTTGCTGAATATCTGGGTAAAGCACCACCACTAAAAAGCTGTCTTCTTAGAGGTCAGTGCAGGTGAGATAGTTTTCCCATCCCCTGCAGTGAAAGGGAAAAGCACAAAGAAACACTTGCAGTATTACACGATCAAAACACCCCATCTCTGTAAAACCCCATGTTTTTTAACCGGACTTCATCAGCACTGCTAACCACATCTGAATCCTGGTGGCACATGAATGCATGCTAAGTGCCGTAAATCTACTTTGGCCACTGTAAAATCAAGAACTCTGCAAATCTCAATACCTGTTGGGTCCTCCTGAAATGTAAACATCCATTAAACATCTCCAGAGTGACCATATATGTGAGTTGCAAAGAGGGCTGTTTATTTTGCTGTTTTCTAAGTATGAGTTTGTTCATTGTAATGCATAAAGGCTAAACACTGATCATTAAGTTAAAGGGCCTTGACTTAATGACACCTGGAGGGGAGATATCTAACTATTTCTGACCAACATTTCTCTTTGTTCAGTCAGTTGTTCTCTATCTTACTATGTTGCAGAAACTGTATAACCCGTCCTTTGCCTCATCTCTTTTTCGTGTTAACACTTGTTACTTCTGTGCATGCAAAGTGCTCTGTGCTCTCTTTGGTTAATGTCCCTAATGTGACAAGGCAGGAATAAAAAACATGCTAGATTTTTGGTCAGTTGGTGGTGAGGTGTCCTGAAGAGACCTTGATTGTCCTTATGACACACCATGTAGGATAAAAGCCAATATTGCAGCTCAGCTCTAATGACAAGCTGCAGGGTTTGGCAAGCAGCTGTCATGGCAGTGATGTTAAAGGTCTGTTTTCATGGAGCTGTCCCTCTTTTGTTTACCTTCACTGCGTTTCAAAGTTCAATTAATATGAAAATGAGAAATAGCTGTTCAGTTTACCTCTATTGTTTTGTTTTAGAGCAGACAAGGAGGACAATGATGGTGTTCAGAGGATCTGTGCTTGATGGTGTGATTTTATTCTGGTACTGATCCACCAAAGTATAAATTAATAGTTAAGGTAAAATACACACACACTTATAAATCACCCAAAAAAAGCTGTGATTCCCACCACAATTATGGATCTATGGACATGTTTGAGGAGTAAAACTGGTTTTACAGATAAACGGTACTGTCAGCTGTCTCTGCGGTTGAATAAAAGCCTCTCAATATAAGAAAATCCTGTTTTTAAATGACCCATGGCCCATCTATTACAATGGAAGAGGGCTTTATGAATACTGCAACCAGTCAGTAAGGTGAGTTTCAAATGTTTAGGCATCACTTTTGGGAACCTGCCATGTCTGTCTTTGTGCAAAGTTTAAAATTTAAACTGAGACGTGCAGGTAAGACTAGCTCATACATTGCTCTGTTTCAACACCTTTCACCACTGCAGGAGCAATAAACTTATTCTATTATTACCAAAAAACATTGTGCACTACTGCTCTATGTTAAACAGGGGATAACCAGCAAGTTTACCTGATATCTTAAAACTTGTAAAAGGACCAGTATTTAAATGAAGAAACAAATCCAGGTTACAGTTACACTGATAAATGTGATAGTGATATCTCAGTGATGCTGCCATCTTGCCTGCCTCCACGGACACCTAAACAGATGCTATCTCTCCATTCATTGATCAAGCTGTCCAAACAAGGATCCACCAGAGTATTACAGACATGTCAGGACTGTAACTGATGATCAGACTGCTTAAACGAGTTAACATTTCAGCTGTGGTGGTGGTGGGAGGACAGTGGACTTCATGTTGCTGCTAGATCTGAGCCCCAACTCATGCAGACATCTTAGACAGAAATGACAGATGGAAATGCCACTAAACGCAGCAGAAACGGCAAATCAGGCAGCAAAAAGAGCTTCAAGTGAGGTCCTGACAAAGAGATTTTGCACACTCCAGAAGAAAAGACTCAGCAGAAGACAGAACCATCTCCTCTTTCAGGTGAGACTTTGATAAAAGGCATGCAGGGAGATTAATTTCCTTGAGGCGTGCCACCTCCTCGCCTCTTTTGACCCTGCCAAGAAGCAGATAGAATAGATAATTCTGCAGGAGCGCAGCACATTCTGCCCTCCACAGTGTCTGAGTGAGCTGCTGCATTATCTGCTTCACACCTTCACGCTGCTTCTGTGGGTCTGCTTCAATGAGTTTTCTGACTGAACAAGACGGCGTGTCAGTCAGAGGCAGCACGGAGGATGATAATGAAACAGTCATCAGACGATATCGAAGGAGTAAAATGCAGCGGACAGCTCCAGGCCATTCTGAATGACACTTGCTAACAGTAGCAGAATGCAGAGCAGCTGTGACACTGTAGTTATTTCTCTGTGAAATAAACTCTGCTGAGGGATGTTTCAATCAGTGGTGACCATTTTTGAACTTTTATTCACTACAAGTGGTTAATAATGGATCCAGTAAATGTTGGAGTAGGACAGGTTAAATCAAAGTAGGCAGAATAACACAGAATAATTCAACTGTGCATTTTCAGAATCAAACAAAACTCATTCGATATGTGCTTTTAATCATACCTAATGAATGTCAAATGTCAGCACATATATGTCAACATTTAAATAATTGTGATGCAAGTAGCCTGTAATACTGTTTAATATCACTGCAATGAGGCAAACTTTGAGGTGAGCTGTCACTGTTTACTAGAAATTCAAGCCTTCATTCAAATGAGTGGTTAAAGGTTACTATCACTGAACTGTAACGGATTATTTGAATTCAAATAATATACAGCTGTTCAGTGCATTAGGCCATTAAAATCAGTCGAGGGCAGACTCATCGCTACCTGACCATTGTATGGCACTTGACCTCAACAAATTTAAACAATGATAATTTTCAGCAAAAAAAAAAAGGATGTTTGCTGCAATCACAGCACTGAAAATTTTTGGAAACAGTTTGGGTTCAACAACATAGATAGCTAGCTAAAAATGATAAGAGTTGTTTGTTGACTTAATAAAATGCAACTGCCTTTCTTGACAATGACAATTCAAAAGTGATGTTTTCTATTAAAAATGGGCAGAAAAACTTAGAGATAATAGCATAGACTGTATATAAAATGGACGCCATCTGCATCTGAGAACAGCACTATCTGGTGTCGGGCTGCAGTATAAGTCTTAAGTCCCACCTCCTCCAGCAATCCCCATGGAGCTGTGGATAAACTTTAGAAATTAATTTCACAGAATATAAATTTTTCTCCTCTTTTTTCTGTATAGCTCTATTTTTAAAAGTTGTTAGGGGTTCATGTTTTCTATGACTGACACTTGATACAGCCTATGGGCGTACGCAGATCTAAAAACTCACCCAGGAGAGCCGCAGTTTGAGCTGAGCGTCATCACAGCGGCTCTCGGCCACTCTCCCACCAAATGCTACTGCGGTGGTGGTTCCAGGAACTGGAGAAAATCCCGGATATACCGAGGGCAATTCAGCTTCAAATTTGTGTACTGACAGAAGGTGAAGCCAAGTTGACCATGGTATATACAGTCTATGGATAATACTAGGATAGCTATGCCTGTATTTGGACACTTTTATGGCTCGGTGGAGTGTTTTTTGTGTGTGGAGTTTTGCCCCCTTCTTTTCGCAGAGGTTGGGCAGCTCCTCAGCAGCACTGGCTTCTGCACCTCCACACCTGCATCTGATCACCTAATCACCACCTGCTTTTGGGCTCAGCTCTGAAGACTGCTCATGGCCAGATTATTCCCACTCTCACAGTTGTGTCACGACCAACTCTTTCAAGTATTAAAAACTTAGAGTGTTCTAGTGAATGTTTTGCAAGTAACTAATCACTGCTGTCCTCCTTTCTCCACCAGCGCCTCCTCAAGCCACCAGTGTCTGCCCAACCTCTGCCTCCACTGCCACACTCTCGATCCTGAACCACTCACCTGCTGTCTCCTTCAGCTCACACACTGCCTCAACCCCCTCACAACGGATCCCTCTGCACTCCTTGGACCCTGGACCTCACACCATCCTTCATTTTTCATTACAATAAAATCACTTAAAGCTTTCTCTGCCTCCGCTACCTGCTTTTGGGTCCCTCAAGAAAACCAATCATTACACTATGGCTTCTGCACCTCCACACCTGCATCTGATCACCTAATCACCACCTGCTTTTGGGCTCAGCTCTGAAGACTGCTCATGGCCAGATTATTCCCACTCTCACAGTTGTGTATAAATCAGATCAAAGTCACACGTCTGCATTTTCATGATCAAATTCTTAATCCTTGGTATAATTTCATTCAGGTTCTATTTCAGCAGTGAAGTTGGGTGATCCATATGTGCAGCTGTGAAACCCCCTGAATCCAAACACTAACCCCAGGCTTTTCTTCTCTCTTAGAGCATATCCATGCTCAGTTTTCATTGTAAACCTTGATGCAGAGGCCACAGGTTTCCAATGCTCACTTTCCCCTTGTAAGAGCACTGTCCTAATTGCGTCTGTGGACACTTTGATCCTCTTTGTGGGATCAAGAAAAGCCAGCACAAGTGCATTTTTTGAAGCTTTTGCCAGTTATACTCTTGTTTAGTTGTCCATTTGATTCTGATTTGTTTCTGGTGTATTTATCATCACTTTACTGTCAGACATGCTGATTAGTGGTTCCATCCGTTCACCCACTGTTATGGCATTTATTTCTTTTTCATGCTTGTTTTCGCAGCTCACAATGAGAACGTTTTACTCAGGCCTTTGTCCTCTATAATGTTTACATACATACTTACTTTGCCTTGCTCCTTTCTTTGTGAGAAATTGTCTAGCAAAGTAGTTCTTTCCTTGACAGTGAGAGCACTGCTTACCAAAGGCTGGATACTGTCTTGGCATGTGCTGTGAGCCACAGCGCTTGCAGTTAAACATCCTGTCACCAGTTCACAGTGTAGGTTGGGCTGGCCTGTGTGTGCTTTCCTCCCTGGCCTGAGACTGCACCAACAGCCACGCCATCACTGTCATTAGCTATGTCTGTATCTCATTCGCCCAATATCCTCACACGCATTTGAGACAGCTCACTTGCTTCGAAATACTGATGACTCCTTCCAGCGACAGCTTTATTTCTCCAGAGGCTGTTCTCTAATCTTTTTGACCTCCACACTGAAGAGGACGTGGTCTTGGATCATGGAGTCCAGTGTAGAATGGCTGGGCTTTCAGCTTTAAGTCAGTCAGAACCCTATCAAAACATTTCGTGTGAACCATAGACTGTATATACTACGGACCACTTGGCTCCGCCTTCCATCATTGTACAAATTTGAAGCTGAATTGCTTTTGGTATTTCTGGGATTTTCTCCACTTCCTGGAACCACCAGTTACGCAGTAGTTGTGCAGTAGAATCGCCGAGAGTCGCTGTGATGATGCTCGGCTCAAACAGTGTATCCCCCGGATGAGCTACGCAATCTTCGTACGCCCATAGGCTGTATCAAGTGTCAATCAGAGTAAAAACAACCCCCCTTATAACTTTTAAAAATGGAGCTGCATAGAAAAAAAAAGGACTTGAACACATACCAGTCTAACAATAACTACATGGCAAAATAGCAAGCAGGGGGGCGAAAAATTTATATCCTGTGTAATTAATTACTAAAATTTGTTCCCAGCTCCATAAGGATTGCTGGAGGAGGCGGGATTTATGACCTGTTCTGCAGCCCGTCACTAGAGGGTGCTGTCCTCATGCTCCCTTCCTGGCTTTTATTCCAGTTCTATTGCGGTGATATACAATCAAAACTGCTGCTTAATAGTTGACCAGTTGCTGTCAACATTTCCTGTGCATTTCAGACATTTGGGTGGCTTAAGAGTTGCCATGTTGCTTTTCACAACACACCACAGCTTAGTTTACTCCTGGTGGTGATGCAAATAACAATTTGGTCCGTTGTCTTTCTGAGAACATGTCTATTATCTTCTCTTTATCTTTTTTATTTATCTTACTTATTTTGTCTACTTCTTGTATAAGTAGAGTTCATTGACAAAAAAAAAAATTCCTTCAGTTGTTTTTTGTCCATGAAATTAGTCTCTCGCTGGGAGTATTAACTGTGAAAATAGTAACAAAGGCGGTTTATTCAGCATCTACCCCCTCACTATTGGGAAAAGGCATTACAAATGACAATCAAAGTTGTGAATCTTGTTGTCATTTTTTTAAGTTTATTTATTTATTTATTTTTTTGTTTTTGTTTTTGTACATTATAGAGTCACATCCCTGTTCATTTCAGTCTGTTTCATTACCAATTAAGCCTCACTGGAGCTTTGAAAAAAATCATAACATGATTCAGTTGTTAAAATCCCACCTTTAACCCACTTATGTGAATTCACACAAACTTGATAGTAGGTAATAGGGTACATCTTTAAATCTCTTTAATTTTGTTTGTAACTCTGGAGGGATATTGTGCTGGGGTAATGACTCTTCTCTAATTGATGTCCGCCTCGTCAATCTGCTGAGGTCTCTGCAGCCTCTAAGGGTCAAGTGTTTGAGCATGCTCATTACAGTTTTCCACTGTGGTGAAAGGACAGCCCTGCCATATTAATGTCACAGAATGAAGCAACAAAGGTGTATCACCTGATTATTTCCAGCTCTTCTGCCATCTTTGAATTCTCCTCCTCTAATTATTCTCTGAAGTGGTATCACTGTGCAGGGAGGGGGAATAAATCTCCTCTCCAGCCTCCAATCTAATGTCAAGACATGAAACGGGATCATGGATTATCAAAGGATGACTGTATTCTCTGTGGTTTAGTATCTGAGGGCAATAAGACCAATTTTAAATGTACTTTTGAAACACTAATACATACAGAAAACTGCTTTATACTCAACAATTTCCGCATAAGTATGTTCAGTGTGATAGTGGAGATCCTTTGAAGATTTGCAGAGATTTCTCTGCTGAAACGACTTTTCTGAAACTGGTAGTTTTTTAATTAATTTGTTGTTTCAAAAAGTGACCCCCAAATAATAAGGGGGCTTTCACACCTATGTTATCTGACTTTCGGACTTTTAAGTTTGGTCTTAATTAAGATAATTGGGGTGAACCTTCCCCTGGACCTTGGTCAGGACCAAACAATCAGACCTTGGTCCGACAAAAAGAGGTGGTCTCGGTCCAAACCATATCGAACCACGGTCTGGTTCATGCCCAGTGTGAAAGCATTATTTTGAAATGTTCGGACTTTCATATCAAAGACAAAGAGACAACTATAATCTTAAATTCAGGCTGTAGCTGCATTAACGTTGCTGAAGAGATCTCTGAAGAAGCTGCAACAACACATTTGATTGATCCAAACAGATTCAGAGAATGGACAAGAGCCAATCTGATCTCTGGCTTCTTTCCAGGCATGATGACAAAAGGGTGAGGCCAACAGTGGTGAAAGGGAGAAGCACGAAGGCCTGGCACCTCAGGGTGCGAGAATCCGGTTGAAGGCAGGAGAAATTTATAGTACATCACTGCGAGTGACACAAGGATGATTTTACGTGAATGCCAGTTGACCTGCAACTTTGCCGGCAGAGGACACACAACCAATATGATGTTTTTGATTTTAGTCATAGAAGACCTAAGGTGAAAATAATTAAAGACCAGTCTTATTCTCCTGAATAAATGCAGGCTGAGTTTGCCAAGTGAAACGAATAGCAGTCTTGACTACTAATTGAAGTTTTATGTTACCTGTGGACAGGACTTTCTGTAGATTCCCTTAAAAAGCACGTTTGTGGTAAACTTTATGTCTGCAGTAAAACATCTCAAACTCTTCCTCTACTTCTGCTCCAGTCTGACTTTTTCTGTCTGTTTTATAACTTATATTTCATTTTATCTTCACTGGTATGAAATTAACAAGCACGGCCTCTAATCATGTCCCTGGTTGATTGAGTAGATTATAAATTTATTGAGACCACAAATGTCTCCCACTCCTCTCAAGTCCTTCCTTTCAGCTCTCATCCAGTGATCTGTGTCTGATATGGAGACTGCCTGGGCTGTAATTAGAGAAATGATGAGAAGGAAAAGAGGGAGGGGGCTGTAACGGTGCCTCGGCTAGATTCAACATCATGTCTCCACTCCTGTAATTACATTTAGACTATTATTAATTCAGATGCATTCACCCCGAGGAGAGAAAAAAGGCTCCAACAAGGGAAAATCACTTAAAGAGCCATCATCAACTTTTATAAAAGGACAGCGATGTAAAGCATTTCATAATTATACATATTAATCCCACCTTTGTTGACAGCTCTATTTTGAGAATGAACGGTAGAGTTGAAGCCAAAAAAGGTTGAACTAAACACAAAGAGACCCTATTCAGGGCTAAGTGGTGATTATCCATCACTGTCCATAACTGGCTGTCTTTTTCTCTTTGCAGGGTGAATTATAAAAACCGATAGATCACATATTATGACCACCCAACAAATCTTAAAAACAACACCCTAAAGAGGAATAGGAAAATAAGCTCTCAGTCGGAGGCTGCAGTGAAATTCGGGCTGATATTGATATTTTAACTGTTCTATTTGATCAAATGCCTCATCATTGAGGCAGAGTTTTGTGCTCAAGTGAACTCAGAAACACACTGCTCACTGAAAATCACTTTTTGAGCTGTAGGTAAAGACAAATGCATCCTGCAAAAGAGTACAAAAATTCCAACCATGGACAAAAAAGTTCAAAAACGCTCATATGGCTTAAGGGGCGGCTCAGCTTGCAGCTCCTTTATTAGACATTTTATGCAAAAAGTATTGATGAGACACTTAAAATGAATTATGACTGTTGTTAGCATCTTAAATTGAGCTGAAGAAGGAGCCTTGAGGAATTAAATAAATGCAAAAGAGCTTGAAGCGGCAATTTCCTGAGAGTCTGCTTGAGGCTGGCTGTAAAAGCCATGAACTTGTTAGAAAAGACTCATCTTTACAGCAATAATAGACCCGAATCTCAAAATCCTTAATAATCTATGTAGATGTCTTGATAGGCATTATATCAGGACAACAAACGAACAAAATCCTCAAAAAATGCGTCCAGATGTGTCAAATGTCCTAATCCATGTTGACTAAAATAATGAAATGAAACAAGCCCCCTGCCAAAACGTAAAAGTCTTTGTCCGGAGTCTAAACAAATATGTGGCATATGATCACTCTTTGTCCCTGAAGCATAAAAAACTGAGCTGACATAAAAAATGTGAGAAATGTGGCATTTAAATTACAGCATCAGTGTCATAGTGGTCCCATACCAGAGACCATATTTGACAAGTTACAATGTCATTGAACAGATGCTTTTATCCAAGGTGACGTAGATTGAAAAGCAAGAACAACACAAGCAAAGATCTAGACAAGAAGAAACACGGTCAGTAAGAGCCACAAAGTGCTTCCACCAATTAGGGAAAACAGAAGACAAGAGTCGGGCTGGTGACTTTCTGTGGCTGAGGGTAGTGGGCGAGAAGGGGTGTAGACCTGGATGAGGGGCTCCAGGAGAGTTTTGTATTTGATGCGAGCTGCAACAGTCAACCAGTGAAGAAAGATGAACAGAGGAGTGACATGAGCTGTCCAGGGCTGGTTGAAGTCTAGATGTACTGCTGCGTTTTGGATCATTTGCAGAGGTTGAACTGTGCAAGCAGGGAGGCTTGCCAGTAAGGAGTTGCAGGAGTATGATATTACAAGAGCCTGACTCAGGAGCTGTGTTGCATGCTCTGTCAGGTAGGGTCTGATCCTCTTGCTGTTAAAGATGGCAAATCTAAAAGACAGAGCAATTGAGGCAACATGAACCTTGAAGGTTGGCTGGTCATCAGCTAATGTTACAACACTGCAGTCTGACAGTTTTCAGTACAGATCTCATCATTTATGGGTTATCCTTCAGAATATCCTGCCAAAACATCTCCATCTCTTCTTTATTTTGCACAGTGCATATAGGTCGACTGAAGGTTAGGTCAGCGTTTCCAATAGAAGATGAGCTCAAGAACCCCAAAAAGTGGTCCATGATTTTACATCAGTTGCCAAGGTCCACTTCACAAATCAGACTGTCCAAATGATGTTCAAGCTAAAAAGTAAGTATCTCTACTTCATGCAGATTACTCTTGTTTTGCATCTAATTGTAGCAATGAGCTGTCAGCACCTCTTCTCCAGCAAATCTCAAAACTGTCCACACACAGATGATGAGCACTTCTGGGCTGTTTATTAAGAAGTCAGTTTACAATATAGCAGGAAAATATTAGCAGTCATAACATTTTATCACAGGACTTTTTAAGCAGCAAAGCAGCTCTTGCAAACACTCACAAAACTCGTAAATGATCCCCAGAATGATCATCTCCACACAGAGTGCATGTAGCATGCAGAGGTTAAACTACAAAGACCTCATGCGGGCTCAAATTACAATCAAAACCCTCTGGCCTGACTCTTCCACTAGCTCCACACAAAAAGGACAGATCACCTTCGCTGTGCATCTTGTCTTACATAATTTCTTTACTTCACCCACGACCAAAATATTTACCAAACATATGTGCAAATAAATCAGTCAACATGACAGGCCCTCTTTCTGCTGTTAAAGTAGATGCATTTCATAAATTATACTCTTACAAATTCTGCTTACCATGCTTTAGTGACCTTGACAACAATCTTACTCACTGGAATATCCTTTAATGGGACTGACCTTGATCAAAAATGCTTCTGCATCTATTTACAGTATATACTCATTTTTGACCTGCACTGCCTTATTTAGCTATAAAAGTTTGCTTATTCACATTTTCAGTGCATGTTGTAACAGTGGGGCTATTCCTTTAACAGCTTTAACGTTGTCAGGACATCACTTAGTGGCGCCTCTGTTCTGGTCAGTTGGGAGGCCGAGTACACGATGACGCCATGATTGAGTTCCTGTAATTTCTTTTCCTTTCATTCTTAACTCAGTTAACATTGAGTACCATGAGACCGCTTTGTCATGTATGATATCGCTAACATGGTGTTTAATTTAATAAAAGAGCAGCAGCTGTGAAGTCCCAAGTTAACTGCTTTCTTTTTTCCTGCTCATACCATCACTCATGAGCTAACTGTTACAATCTGCATCAACTTTAATCTTAATTTTGAGTAATGGACTCTCTTTTCATTTGGTTTTGGTTTAAATCAGGGTTCTCTTCTGATAAAATGTCAAATTCTTCATAAATACAGATGCTAAAGTCTATCATGACCTTTTTTTATGAGCCTCATCTTTCACCGTATATCATAGAATAATGACAGAGAGCTCATTAAAACCTAACATGGGCTCATGCCATGAAACATCTCTTTGAATCTGAGCTCTCTGCTCATGTTTACTGCTGCTTGTACACAATTCCCATCCATCCACAGCAGATTTTCTTTCTTTCTTTCTTTCTTTCCAGTCCATCAACTCTGACGCCCTCCTCCCTGCCTCGCACATGAAGCATGCGGCGTCACAGTAATGACCGTGCTGCAGACATGCAGCTGGCTGTTTGTTTTGTTTGTGTTCACACAGTAAGAAGGTGTCTGCTTTAATTTGGAAAGAGCAATGTGAAATATGAAACCTCAGGCCTTTCTTTTCTTTGTCTAATGGTTGTGTGTGTGTGTGTGTGTGTGTCCTGGATCTCTCATCTCCTAACATGGAATCTGTGCCAGACAAATGTTCCTTTCATGCAGGTACACACACTAATGAAAGCTGAACACAAATTTTCTAATGAGCAGGAAACATCAGCCGCTGGCAGAGGAGCCCTTCAGCTGTACAACACACATCACTTCAAAGAAAGCTTCTCTCTGTTTTATCTGATTAATGATCAACAGGAGGCTGTAACACTGAAAGGATGGAGAATTTCTCTGCAGGATGTCCCCTCCCCTCCTCCTTCACAGCTGTGATCAGCTTTTTCATGTCTGTTTAAAACTTTGATCAACACACGACCAAAACCTAAACCTCTGTTAGGAGAAAATTTGAGGGAACGGCTTTTATATCAAAGTAGACCGGACATGTGTGTGCTTGCATGTGGGTGTGTATACTTGCCTACCACCTACTCACATAGCCGCCTACTCGCAGTGACACTACAGGGAGGATAAGTGCCCACACACAGCTTCACTCTTGTTTACACCAAACTCCTGTGAGGATCTGCTTGTAAACATCCACATTATTTACAGTAAATCAAGTTATTTTTCACACAGCAGTGCACATCGTTTGTTGTTCATCCACCAGCAAATAAAGAGGGATGAACGTTTGTGTAATCAAAGAAAGGAAATAGTTTGCTGACCACACTGCAGCATGGAGGACGTCTAAATTGTAATTATTCTTTTAGTGAAGCTGAAACAATTAATGGAAAATGGTGTTTTCAGACTGGGACCTGTTTTCACATGATTTACAGTCTAAAAGTGCAAAAGTAACTACTGCTGCAGATAAGGGTATAACTGCAACTTAATCTTTGTGGGTAGATCAAAGAGCCCATTACCTGATGGGTTTGATGGACAACATTGCTGTTTTTGGTGTTGCCAGGAGCCAGCAAGACTTAATGATAATGATGACCAACATTCCAGGTGTAGCCGGCAGTGAACTAATGCATGACATCCAGCCAGGGTTTCCTTTTCTGCGCCCTGCATTAAGAGTCCTATCATCAGATGACAGTGTTGAATGCCTGATCATGATTGGTTGAAACCCCATATCAACGGGAATCAGATCTGAATAGCAAGAGCAAAGCCAGGGACAAGAATTATATCAAGTATAGGTACTTTGAAAAATGCAGACTGAAGCAGAGAGAAGTTGACCTGCAACTAAACCAAAGAAACCACAGCTTACTCTTCCACTGCTGTTTTAAAAACAGAGAAAAAATGACCAAAAGTCTCCTGAAGCTGTCAAAATAAACAGAGCTGTAGCAGAGTATATCTGTGAGGACCAACTACCCATTTACACAGTAAAGAAACCTGGCTTCCAAGTGAAAAAGTGATTGTCTTGTTTTTAATTTTTTTTATTTTTCATTTTCTGATTATTTAATAATTTTATTTAATTGATTATTTATCCGCCGTTCTGCTTTTCATGTTAATACATTTTTTATGGGTATCAACATTGAGTTTGAAATTTTAGTATTGTGACAATCCTAGTTGACACTGTGGCAAAAGTGTTTGAGAGCTGGTTAAGTAAGAAGAGTTTATCATAAATAAATATGTTCGTTAAGTGTGACTGTATGGCAGGCCAACGTTGAGACTTTACTCTGAATGTTTAATTTTTCCAAAAAGATGGTTATTGTCAGTACAGGTATATCGGGACAGCCCTAATAAAAATACAATTGCCAGCAGCCATTAAATCTGGGAGAATATATGTATTTGAGCTCTACAAAAATTTAAAAAATGTAGAAATCATCCAATCTTTCAGTCAACTTATTAGAATCTTTAGTCAGCAGGCTGGGAAATGGTGAACAGCAGTAGTTCTGTTAGGTTAATGCCTTACTATGTCAGGAATCCTCTTGGTGCCATCTGATCACAATACATTCTATCTGAGAGTTTTTGAAATTCACATCAAACTATTTTGTTTCTCAAAAATTGTAGGGCGGAGACCTCATGATTCAAAAAAGCCATAGAAATAACGCATAAAATCATGAGTCGGTATTTAATAAATAAACGGCTGTAATTTTAAATTGCCACAAAAACCATCTTTGAAAGCAACATCAAACATAACAAGACGATAACAACAATACAGTCAGTACTATGTGTCCCACCTGCTTTTGCTATCCATACAGACTCTTTTTCATGGTTAGTCTGGTGACCAAAACACTTGGAGTAACAATGTCCAGTCTTGAAAATACTGACTCTCCTTAATGATGTGGAGTCTGTGAAAGGAGATTTTAGTTGTGGTCAAAGCATAGACTGTATTTAGAATGGATGTCATCTGCCTTCTCGCTGGGTAAAGCCTCTTCACAATACATTCTATCCGAGAGGCACTTCATGTTCAAGCTTTGTCAGATCTGTCCTCAAGAGGATGAAGAAATAACTTAAAATGTATGTATGTTGGATGGAGGTCAGATCTCAAACGTATTTTTAGCTACATTTGAATGCAGATAACTGTTTATGGAAAGAAACACATTTGTCAGATTGTTACTGATGGAGGATGATTATCATAAGGGTGGCATGTGTCCCACCTGCTTTTGCTATCCATACAGACTCTTTTTCATGGTTAGTCTGGTGACCAAAACACTTTGAGTAACAATGTCCAGTCTTGAAAATACTTTTATAATTGACAAGTGGATACAGTCAATGGGCGTAAGAAGAGGGGGTGTGCGCTGTTTGAGCGTCATCGCAGTGACTCTCCCGCTGAAAATGACTGGTTTCAGGAAATCAAGATAATTCCTGGAGACACAGAGGGCAATTCAGCTTCACATTTGTACAATGACGAGAGGTAGAGTCACATTGTACATACTATATACAGTCTATGGGTCAAATACACCCATACGTCTGCTAAGAGTTTGTGTTTTTGTCTCTAGCAGGTTCAGACTGTTATTCTACAAATCCCTTCACTGCTCATACAAATAGAAAGTCTTTACTATCAGTGGCTGTAATTTCACTCAAAGCTTTAACAAGACTCTCATCTAGATTCAAGAGGAGCCTAAAGCGCTGACTGCAGCCTATTTTACATTAAAAGATCATAAAATAGAGTAATATTGATAGACAGTTTTGATAAGAGTTAAATATATGTAACATAAAATCAATGTGATTCCATCAAAAATCTCAAAATGGCTTTTAGCTATTAGTTGTGATGTCTAAAAGAGATCTGATATGTCTCAGCTGACTTTGAAATGGACAATTGAATTGTGGCAGCTCTCTGACGTCAGACTGCTCAAATCTATTACTTCTCCTCCTCCTCTGACGATCAATACGTCCTCCAGGTGCAGGATTTAATGTGTAATCATAAAACACAGATTCCAGTCATCATTTTGATCATGATGAGAGGAACACAGCGCCGTTAGCAGCCGCCGTGTAATTACCCGGCTGGCATAGACCATAAGGGAAAACTACACTATGCAAATATTTCATTTTCTCACAAAGGCTCCTTGGGGATCTGTTGTGTACACTGCAGAGGTAATATCTGTCCAACCGGATAATTCCTCTCTATGACAAAGAAGAAATCCTTTTTATTAGCCTCAGCTTAAGCCTGTTTATCCCGAACAGATCAGGGTTAAATTAAAGTTACTTAACCAAACCTTTGAGAGGAAAAACACCCTGACTTAAAGGCTGCACCTTTCATTCAAATAATCAACTCTTTATGTCCAAGAGCTCACAGCCTGTAACTGACAGCTCCATTATTCACAGCTTAATGTAAGACCACAAAAGGTCTGCTTATACGGATCAGTCTGAACACTAAAGACCTTGAGGCCAGATATTTGCATGCAGCTCTTGCTCCAACAACATCTCATATTCCTGAATGGCATTGACTTTACCATGAACAGAGGAAATTCATCAGAACAGAATCCATGAGAGGAAACAGCAGAAGCATACTTCAGTATATATAGGGATAGAAATCTGGAGCTATCTCTGCTCTTACTAAAGAAATGAAATGTTGAGCATTGAGGCAGCTGTTTGGATTCCCCTAATGGTGAATTGATTTATATGAAACATCAACACATTTCTTCAGCAATAAGAAAATAAGAATAACAAAACAGACACAATTGCTGCAGTTTCGCTCAATTTGTCTATTTAAACACTAACAATGAGACAAGTGTTTGAATCAGAGGAAACAAAAGCAGCTGGGCTGCGATTCACTGATATTTCCATCATCTGATATATGATGGAAAAGATGAAACTGTTAGTATGGATGCGATAACACACACTTAACTCTTGTATGATTCAATAGATACTTTTAGATACTTTAGATCTAAAAGTACTTTTATTTACCATTTAACTGCCATTAAAACAGACAAGTATTTATGAACCATGCAGCCAAAGTATGTAGAGCTCCCCCTCCTGACCAGCTGCAGTGTAAGTCATAAAACTCGCCTTCCTATCTTAAAGAATAGGGCATACATAAGGGTCGTATCTATCATCCTTACCTCTCACCCTTACACTATTAAGATTGACTGAAATGGATGTTTATTAATCTTCTCTTGACCAGCACATCAATCTTAAACAAAATATCTGTTTTCATCATTTGACCACAGTACACAGGAATTCTCCCAGATTGGTCTAAACATTTACATTTTAGCATTGTTTTTGTTTGTTTGAGGTTGTTAATCTGTGTCTAATGCTGACATTTGATATTTAGTAACCCCGTAATAAGTTAAAAAATCATATGGTATACATTTAAAAGACCTGGGGAACATTTGACATCCAGGATCTTTCGATCTGTTCTCATTACAAAATTTAAATTTGAAATTGATTACGAACTTTGCCCTCTAGAATATTATCTTCTAAATATCCACCAACATTAAAACTGGAAAAAAAAGAACAAAGAACAACAACTTTGGCTGGTGAGATTAGTTGATTTCCTGTTAACCGCTGAGATCCCTAAGAGGTTCACCTTTTGACTGGGCATGTGCTAACATGGGTCTAACATGGTTCCATATTTCTCTTACAAAAAGAGTAAAACGCCACACTGACAGTTCTGTTGACCTGTGAGGCTCCTACAGCGCTGTGCACACCAAATTATCAGGGTAAAGTAGGAATGGTGAGAAGAAACACAAGGGGCTCTATTTTCGTTCGCGCCGGTGAGGCGGCGGAGGGCGGCGAGCCCCGCGCAGTTGTATTTTCGTCTGGCGGAGCCCAGCGTAAGGCCAATTTGGTATTTTCGTGGCATGAGCCGCACGGAGGCGAGCCGAGATCCGCCAAGCTGGGCGTGGTGGTGTGGCAGGGGGAGGTGTCGACAGAATCAGCTGGCGCAGTGACATTTTCGTGCTCGCCAACGGCGTGTAAAGTGCGCTGAAAGCTCGCCGATTCAAACCTGGTCAGCTTTCAGCGCAAGGCGGAACGCAGCTGGTCTAGTAGTATTTTGGTAGACCGACGGCGTATCGACATACGTCACTGATGCCTCACCGGCAGGTTTCCACAGTGTCAGGCACATTTCAGTGCAATAAATAATCATCATCAACTATTAATCTGAGTCAGCACATACATTTAGATCTATATCGATATATTCTGATCTATATGTGATCTGATGAGCGCGTTTGGCACGCGTTTGGACACACAACCTGACCGAATCAACACAGCTGAAACCGCATAAAATTAAATTAAATATCTAGTAAATAAACACACATGATGAAGTTAACTAGATATGTAATTCGTCTCCCTCCTTTTCTTTCTTCCTCTTCCTCTTATTTCTTGCACAGCTCGACCTGGACACGCCTCCGTGTCCTCTGTCCGTCTTGCTGCTGCTGCAGCTGAACAGATGATTTGTTTCAGTGCTCAGATGCGTGATCTACTTTAAGCCGACATACGGATATTATAATATTCAGTTTTGTGAGCCAAATTTATTTTATATGCCAACATCTATGAAAGAAAGAGCCAGGCCACGGAGCGCGATGCGTCATTTACGCACAGATGGTTCCGATTTTAATGCCATTTTTGGAGTTTATGTTGTGATCTGTGCGCTCAACCCACCTTTGTTACGTGAGGTTTGAATATGAGCAACTTTATGTGAGTGTCTTTTTTGTGGAAAAGGGTGTTTGTCTTACCAGTGGGTCCAACATTACGCACACTAAATCCATCTGTGCTCATATGAGAGAGTGTGGAGGACACTTGTTGAGGAGCTACCCTCTGTCGCCATCTTGTGGCATTACTGTCTTAAGACATCTCTTGATCTCTTTGACTACTTCATGAAAATAGTAATACGCCTCGCCTCTGGCGGATTTAAAGGCAAGGAGAGGAGCCTATGTGATTGGTGAAAACAGGTCTCGGCTGTGTTAAACCGACTTCACGCCCTTTCTCCTCCCCGTTACGACTTATGGTGCTGGGAGGAGCTGAGTTAGGGAGGGGGGATACTTAAGCCGGGCTGCGCAGCTCACCAAAATACCAAAATGTGCTTGGGAACGCCTTGTCAGCGCGGTGGATCTGACTGACGCTGCGCTTGCGGCACGTCTCCGGCGAGGCACCAAAATAGAGCCCAAGGGCCATTAAACTAGTCAATACAAGTTCTGATTGGAGGAAAAAGAGTGGGGTAGGACTGTTACAATACCACACTACTAAATAAAGCAACATCATCCATTTCTGATGATGTTGAAATACATGATTTATCCACATCATCAGTCCTTAGGCAGAAACCTCTTTGGAGACGACACTGTCTCATAAAACTCATTGTTTGTCATGATTGCAATAATATTTTCCCTGTGCTGTGCTGTGTTTTTTTTTGCATTGTAAAATTGCTTTCATTTTAAACATACGTATACTTCTGGTAGATTGGTGTTTTTAGCACAAGGACAATATTTCATATTCTCAAAAGGTAGTTCTGATTAACGCGGTACAATGCAATAGTTTGATATTATTCTTGTGGCTCCACCCGCACACTATGTCAGCATCTATTATGGCAGAATTTTGGCCTTGCATCTCAAAATTGGTGAAAATGGAGGTACAAGTGTCTAATTTTATCTTAAAGTGACACAAAAAGTACTTCATCTACATGTCGAGGTTACATGAGCTGGTGTAAAAAGCTGAAAAAGGATACGTTCACAGATAAAGTTACAGTTAAAGAGAATGGTATTAGCTTCCTCTGAAGGGATACACCCTTGAGCATTGTTGAAATGTTAACATCTTTCTCTACATTCAGAGCAGGTGTGCAGCCTTTACTCACCTCAAGCATGCCAGGAGTACAGATAGAGAGATTGCCCACATGTTTATCAATGACAAACACATGGGTACAGAAAAAAAAATATTGAAAGGTGGTCCAATATCTGTTGTTTTTATCCATGAGTATCATGTAGGTATTGTCTTTGTGTGGAAAATACTTGTGGTTTATCCTCAACCCAGAGATCTTGACCTGCTACCACCACACCTCAAATCAGTTACCAACACACAAGATGTGAGGCAGTGTAGATAGAGCCCTCTACTGTTTAAAGAAAGCCCATCCATTACTTCTCATCTGTCTCAATTGGAGCTCCTGTGAGGAACTTTTGGTTAGTGTCTTTTTTTGCACCAGCTGTGAACAAAGCAGACTTTCCTCATCTGTTTCTTTACGAGCTTCAGTAGTGACTCATCCTGCTAACTTTTAACAGTCATTTTTAACAATTATTATGAGTATTTTATGTGGAAATTGTAAAAACAGGGTCTCAATTGCTCTGCCTCTACCATTCACCTCCTTTAAGTTAAAGGCATTAAAGGTACGATACCAAAATTGTCAATTTTAGAATAGAATAGAATAGAATAGAATAGAATATTCCTTTATTGATCCCCCATGGGGGAAATTTTTTTGCCACAGCAGCAACACAAAGTGCAAAAATTCAGTCATTAAAATAAAGATGGTAATATTAAGAACTTAAATGTTACAATTAAGAAAAGGAAAAAGGAAGAAAATAAAACTATATACAATATACACAATTTAAGTACTGGATGAATGAGTGAATAAAGAGATGAACAACAGATGATGAGGTATCAGGATGGTCATGGTTAAATAACTGTACATGAATGTTGAATATTAAATAGATTAAGGTGTGAGTTCAGTTTTATTACAGTTCGTTGTAAAGTCTTTTTGCAGAAGGGAGGAATGACCTGCTGTAGCGCTCCGTCTTGCAAGGTGGGAGTCTAAGTCTGCTGCTGAAGGAGCTGCTTAAAGCCTGGTACAGTGGGTGAGAGGGATTGTCCATGATGGATACAAGCTTTGCTAACATCAAAAAAAATTCCCCCATGGGGGATCAGTAAAGGAATATTCTATTCTATTCTATATTCCAACAGATCAGCAGCTGCCACTGATTGATCTTCTCTCAGTAAACTTCAACAGTATGAAGACCTGGGCAAGATTAAAGACCTCACCCTGATGAACAGGGTGAGGTCTGAATGAAAGCTCTGTCTCTCAATGAGAGTGAATGTTGAGAAAACTGCAAATGAAAAGCCAGAAAAGATTTACTGCGCAGTCTGGGTGGTGAAGTTTCAGCACCACAGAGTGGACAGCTCCTCGGCGTCACCAGCAGAGGACCCCGAGCCTCACATTGATTTCTCCATTAATCATAAAGCGACTCACAGACAGAGTTGTCAGCTTTAGTCATGCTTACTCCATCTCTGCTCCAGTCCAAAACTACAAATCACTGCTCAGGCTATGTCTTCAGATATCCCTTAGGTGAAGCAGCATAAAGACAAACCAGCAAAAACAGGAGCAGGAGATTAAATCAAGACAAAGGAGACAGAGTCCTGTGAGGTGAGGTGAAGGCGGGGGGTAATGTCTCTGACAAAACGTAACAATGCTTCTGCTGAGCTAAACAGACATAAATGGAGGAATCTGAGTCCAAAGCATCGCAATGTATTAAAGAGAATTTAATCAATATCCTGCTCTGCTTGTAATGCATCTTCTCAAAATCTCATTATAATGCACTCAGTTCACAACAGAAAGGAGATCCACAAGTGGGTAACATGCAGAGATGAGAAAAGCACGTTTCAGCATAAAAGCAATTTTGGAGCATGTAATAAACCCACAAAAATAGATGATTGCTCTGCTTTTTGTATGACTTTCCAGAGTTTTCTTTAAATTATTGCAGAGAAAACTGAATACAAAGTGCTGCAGTGAGACGTTTCCTCGTTTTAGGATTACATATTTATGATAAAAAAAAATACCTAGAATACATCAACTAATGATTGAATCATTTTCTAAATGTATCACATGCATTATTAATCTGTGGGAATAAATTTCCAAAACTTTCATTAAAGATTAATCCTTTCATTTTTCGGTGTGCCGGTGTGGAGAAGAGCTGGATCCACTAGTTTCCAGTAATGAAAATATGCATCGGTGCTCTGAACCTCCACCAAAGTGCAAAGCTTAAATTGGATTTTTGCATCAATTTATTTTCCTCCGATAACACATATGTCAGGATTAAGGTGAAATTAATTGACGGACTTTTGCGTGAAGTTTGGCATGACAACCGCCGTGAAATGTGACTGACGCCTATCAGGGCGAGGGGAACTGTGGGCTGCAAGAAAACTATTGGCACAAACGCATTAAGTGATCACCAAACACAGCAAAGATCTGATATATTAAGATTAAGATTAGGAGATGAACCATAATCTCAAACTCACCATGGAGGGGTATAATCCGAAGACGACGAGGGAGAGGACGGGATACAGAACACTCAACAGGAGCCGCATGCTGACGGGCTCCGGGCAGCCTCTTCTCTCCGGGGTGCAGTCCTTATTAAGCATAGATCTCTGGTCTCTGTGTCAACCTCACCGCGTTTCCCCCGCACAGAGAGCGCTCCGACGGCGGCTCACAGACCACACGCTCAGCGGCATCACACCCTCCGCTCCCCGCGCTCAGACTGCAGGCAGAGAGAGCCGAGCAGAAAAGTTTTCAGACAGGGGGAAATATTCAAATATGTGAGGAGCAGCAGACTGCAGGGGAGGCGCAACAAGGACGTGACATCACATCACATCTATCTACAGCATCCATCTACCTGCTTAATGCTGAGACTGTCAGGTTATCAGCAGGAAGATTACCTTCAGATTCACCTTCACACTCTGTCCTTTACTTTTAATGGGAAAAAGAAATCTGAAAGTAGGATTTGTTCCTGTTGATTTCACTGCCAACATCTCTGTGCTCCCAGACAATGCCAAAAACCATATGTTCTGTCTGACTGGAGGGTTTTACAGTGATTAATAATGATGTAAACTAAAATGGAGGAACTTTTTATTATGTTACAGAATAACTGATCCAAAAACACATGCTGGTCCCTCTTTAAATGCATATCCATGACTGAGAGTTTGCACAAGACCTGCCTCCCCGCAAACAAGTTTTCCTCTCCCTTTGCACAGTGCATTCCCTTGAATCAGATCAAGAGTAGGCCTCCTCTGTGGATTTGAACAAGCTCTGCATCTCATTTCAGATTTGCTTATTTCTTAATCTTGTTTAAAACTGCTCAAGGTCATGGAGAAAAAAATATTGAGAGCATTAAAACTCAGAATTATTTTGACAAAATGTGCACTCACTTGTAGTTAAAAAAAAGGGAACATGATCTTTAACATGATCCGAATAATCTTCATTCAGAGAAGAAAATAGACTACTTTAAAAACATGCAAAAGTCTGATGAACGGCCTGCAAAAAGACCTAAAAGCTAAAACAACTGCGCAGACTGTAAACGTAAAGTGAATACACAAGTGATACAAAGCAAAAGCAACGACAGAAAACCTTAGTCATGTAGTTCTTTATGGTTGTGATAGTTTTCTACAAACTCTGTACATTATTGCTTCTGTCTCTGCAGGGTTATCATAATGACTGTCACTGTGGACAGGACAGCGCATATATTTCATTCATAGTGAAAGGATTCTGTTTTATCCAGAGTGGGGGCCATAATCGACAAAACTTAAAAGTTCTTGAAAAAGGCCCTGACACAACCAAGACATTTAAGTTATATAAAAATTCATCCCTGTTATATCTATCATAATACATAAAATAATGAGCTATAAAGACCAACTTTTTTTGTACCAGTCTGTAAACGTGTTCCATTTTAACATGAGCCTCTATGGAGATGGACTCAGTTTAAGACAGCCCCTAGTGGACACTTCTGTCACTGCAGTGTTGCAAGAAATCAGTTCTTAGTGTTTGATCAGAGCAAACCTAGTTTGTATCTTTTAATGAATGGTGAGAATGTTATGAAAACGAAGAGGAACAATTCCAAAGTTGTTAAAAAAAACACAGACATATAAAGTCAGTAAACACACAACATAAAATACCTTTTTCAAAGATTATTAGTGTTTGATAGTTGGCCTGCTCTGCAATCAACATAGGTGACAGACATCTGCGATTACATGACAAGCTGATTTCTCTCGATCAGCTACTTAGTACAACCTTATATAAAAACAGACTGAATTTCATTTATACTTGGCTTTTTATCAGCTGTGGTTGAGGCAACAGCTGGCTTGCCTGTTGTCCACCAAATACATAAACATATGGCTAACTTTACGATGCATAATCACAGTCTGTCACAGCATTGAGTGTAAGAACACAAACAATAACCTCAACACCAGGACAAAACAATTCGAAAACACATTGAAGACGAAGCACAAGACAGGACCTGCTTTAAGTTAACACTCCTGAAAAAACATAAAGGTGACTTATATGACTGAATGATGAACAGACTAGAGGGGTTTCTATATTGAAATGCAGAGCTGACTAAGCAACAGCTTATTGCAGAGATTTTGAATTTATAGTGTTACAGTATGTCAAGTTCTATACATACATACATATATATATATATATATATATATATATATATATATATATATATATATATATATATATATATATATATATACAGTATATTTATCCTGGAAAGCAGTTTGTTTGAATGAGGGTCACACACACAGCTCTGAAAAGTCAAATAACCAATTAAATGCAGTGGACAGTTGCTAAAACAAGCAGAAAATTGAATCTTATTGGAAAAAAAATAATGAGGACTATAATTTTGGGAGTCAGTGTGCAAACATAATTGATTCTGATTTAAAAAATAGACTGTGCAAAGACCTTTCCTCACGTTGTAACCACCTAAATCCTGTCCAGCTTTTTACCAACTCTGAGATGCTTGCCTCCATGGACTCTGCAGAATGAAACAGGCATGTTGCAACTTTTAAATAACTCCTCCCCTTTTGCTTCCTTCTTGGTGATATTTATTGCAGTATACCGTATGCAAACTTTATTCTTTCTCTGTGTTTGTAACCCATTGGTATGAGTCTCCTCCCATTTTCTTCTCAAGTTAAAAGGAAGTAATCTCATGGTTTGCTTATTTATGACTTTCATTCAGATCTGAAGCTGAGCGCTACACTTTAACTGATGGGTCCTGCACACATCTGAGCTCAGCCTCTCTTAGTTTCATGAATATCTCTCACCTTAGATATTCATGAATCTGTTCACCGGCTGAGCAGCAGAGAGGAGATGAGATGCCAGTGCGTTTGGCGTGACGGTGCTGCCTCCTGAGAAGTGTCTCCACAGAGAGCTACAGTCAGCTGAAGACTTTATAACGTGGTCAGCAGCTGTGTGACATTGCGCCCGCGGGAATCTGTTTCTGGTCATAAAGAAGAATACTCCACTCAGAGTACATCCTCCTCTTCTTTTCATTCGTCTCAATGCTCTTCTTTTCTTCCATTGGTTCTTTTCACATGATCTCATTTTTGGCGTCAAGTGACTGTAGCCTTGCCATATCTAGGAGGACAACGTCCAGGATGTTGCAGGCCTTTTGAAGCCTAAAATGCTTGATTTTGCATCACGTCACAGAGCTCTGTGTTTTGGCAAGACAAGGCAAGTTTGTTCATTTAAGCACCATTCAGACATCAAGCAATTCAGAGAGCCTTACAGAGGAGAGAGTTTGAAGCTCTTTTTTCATGCAGCATATTCACTGTGCACAACTGGACTGGACAAATTTATACAACGTCCAGAAACTGAAGCAAACATGACAATCACTGCAGAGCTTTCTGAAGAGCTGTGCAGCTCCAAAGGGAAAAATGGCTGTAAAACTTCGACTAGAGCCAGAGCCTTTATTCATTTAATCTGGTGAACTCATCCTCTTTTTATTGGGAACGGGATTCAATAAGTGACAACAATTTAAGTTTTCCACAGTCACAACCAAAATATATTGTTTATTTTGACAGTGTATTTCTGAACAATGGTTGTATGTCTTCTTGAAGAAAAGTGGTTTTGGAGGAGAAATCTATCAGACCAGCCTTTGCAGTGATATCGTCCTCGTCGTCCCTCCTGTCATTCAGTGTGGTGTAAATTTCTCTTACCTTCAACCTGATGCTCTTGCAGGTGATCTTGAGACACTCAAGTTCATTGCTGCTAAATGGCCAGACAAAATCTTTGCCAGTGTCTTACTCTTTCTGAATTAACCAAGTAGGGCTGCATATCATTTATTTGAGTATTTGATTATAGCGATGTTATGAAAATTAAAATTGTCATATTGATTTTCCTCTCTATCGTGTCTCACGCCTCGGCCACCGTAGGCTCCCCCTTCCTGCGGGAGCGCACCCCAGTTTCCACACACACCAGTGTAAATGAACATGGCGTTTGCAAACAAAAGCGATAATTTCATGGTCATATAGGGCAAGAAATGGCGTTTCAGGTGACTATAAATGGTACTTTTCTGAAAATGGGTCAGAGAGTGCATAAATCCGTAAACAACTTCCATTTCATCTCTGTGTGGATGTCTATCTGCATCTCTCGAAATGATTATGTCACACACAGCATAACTCTTTTATGGCGCCTGCACGTGTCCAGCTGAAACAACCTTTATACGTATGCTCTGTACTCTTCTTCAGTCTTTTGTGGATTTCCTCTGCAGTGCTATAGCGCCACTTACTGGCTTGGCATATGCACTACATCGTTTTCAGTGGTTTCATTTTGAGAGACGATGGAAGAACTTATTATTAAAGTGAAGTTTGGTGATGTTGTCACTGAATTAAAAATAGAAATCAAAAATCAAGTTTTCAGAGAAAGAAATTGGGATTTTATTTTGGCCAAAATCATGCAGCCCTACAACCAAGTAAAAACTTAATGTTGTTTAATTTTCATAATAAAAGGCTCTCAGTTGACGCCAGCTTGTGTTTCACCTAACTACAGTAAAAAACGCCACAGTGAGTGGAGTCAGGCCTGGAATCAATGAGCTAGAGGTTTTCAGAGCATGTTATGGATGTAGGAAACCAGTGATTATGTATTTAACCCAAAATTTTAAAAAAAGAAATAACAAAGGTGAAAAGTGGTTCAATTTGTCTCAATATGCTGAGGCGCATCATCGTAGCTTCTATGGGGAACTGTTGTGTTTTTCAATAATACAATTTGCTTATCCAAGACTCTGGACCAGTTGTGTTTCTCTTTAAGGCAGCAGTGTATTTCTGTCTGCTCTGAACCTCCTCATTTTCAAGGACGAGCGCTTGCAGGGAAAGGTCACTGTGGCTCTGTGGGTTTTTTCCTCCATCTTGTGGACCCTCAAGGACACACTCTTTGCTGGTGGTCTCAGGAATCACTTCATAAACATATAGACTGAAGTGACAGGCTAGAAGAACAACACTGTGACTCAGCCAACAGGATCATCAATGAGTTCTTCTTGGCTTAGAAACCCAGACATCAATTTAGTTAAAAAACTCAGACCTTTTTCAGCTCTATATCTTTATATTTGTGCTTAACTTATTTGGAGCTGTGCACAAAATACATTAGTGGAGGAAAAAATAGAATTGCTTAGCTATCACAGATTTAATGAGATGTTTTTGAAGATGGCTATCTTTCCTGGGATCGACATATTTCAGTTTATGGTGACGACATATAAGAAGTCATAGAATACAATATTATTTCTTGATTTAATAGACGAAAAGAAATGCCTAAATTTAACAGCTTACTATGTGTGTGTCCAACTCTGGAATCACACTAACTCTAAAACATACTACGATGGA